ATATATTTATATATATAATACTTAAAATTTAATAACTATATAATACATAAATTTATATCTTATAAAAATGTTATTAATATTTAGTTTTAAATAAAATATAAATTTTATGAATATATTTTATTATAATTAAAATATTAAAATATTACATATATAAATGCAAAATTTAATGATATAAATGTAATTTTTTATTATAAACATCACCTCTTTATGTAATCCCCGCCAATTCCCTCCACTCCGACCCTCTCTCTTCCTCTCGTACTGTTCTCCTAGAGAGAGAGAGCGAGAGAGAGAGACTAGCAGGGATGCAGACTGTAGATTTCGGCGGGAGCGGCGGCTGGAGAGTAAACCGGATGGGTAGTCCATGGAGGCAGGTCGGAAACGTATGGGCAAGCTCGGACGAAATATTCTCTCTGTCGAGGGAGAGCTCCGCCGTCGCAGATGAGGAGCTGGCTCTACGGTGGGAAGTGATGGACAAGCTACCGGGCAGTGACGGAGTCCGCGAAGGCGGTGCCGGAGCCCTATTGAATAATCTCGAATACTACGATGCCGGCGAGGATCTGCGGAGGCACTTCAATTTTCAGGATGTGAATGTAAAGAAGATGGGGCTCGCCGACCGCCAGAGATTAATGGATGGTATCTTCCAGAAGACGGAGGATGATAACGCTGTCTTCCTCAAGAAGCTTCGCGACAGAATAGATAAGTACGATTCCTTTCACAGTATTTGTATGCTTTTATTGCTATTAATTTATATTATATATAGCAACAAGAAGGTAGAAGGTCATTTGTTTTTGCGCAGTTCTTACATCTAATTTTTCTTTGAATTTTATCCCCAACAACAGTCCAAATGACCTAGGAAGAGATCAATTGCCCACCCCGAAAATTTTTTTCCTTAGAGAGAATAAGTGTTTTAACTATTTTGCCCTGTGATAAATGTATATGTTCAAATTCTTAGAATTTTTTTTATTAATTTATAAGATTATATGTGCATCAATCTTATTTTGACCACCTTTGTTTTAATTGATTTGGCACTAGCTTTGTTTTAAAATGAATATGATATTTATTTTAATTGATTAATTATATTTAGCATTAATATAAAAATAAATCTAATAGCTATAAAATTCATCTAAATCAAACTTTGGTATCATCCACATAAAGGCCATTTGGCTTGATGTAAATTAAGGAAAGTAAAAGGAATTGGAAAACCTATTTTTTATTTGTCTTCTTTGTTTGTTTCAAATGTAATTAAAATAAACAAAAAAGGAAAAAAAAAGAGGAGAAAGTGATTTAACTAGGTTATATTTTAGGGGTCTATTTTTAGAGTTTAAATCAACATTGATTTGTGATAACAAGAATTTGATCAACAGAGACAACATTCATCAGTTGAATCTTCAGCTATATATGGATTTCTTTTGAGAATTGGATCACAAAACTGTCTACAATTTTTCTTTAGATGAAAAAAAAATGTAAGCCATTGATTCCTATTCACATGTGACATGCTGAAGGAAAAAAAAATTATTTTGGAGTCTAGAATAAATTATGAATTTAATTAGTCAATTTTATATGGCTTTGAACAATTAAAAAAATATGGAGTTGGATTCCAAAAAGTTAAATTAGGACGGGCTTCTATAATTCCACGCCTTGATCACTATACGGAGATATCAAAGAATCATCATCATAATTTAATTACATGCTACAAAATTAACTAAGGGCCGATTGAGATCATTTCATATTCTTATTTTTTATTATATATTTAATATGAAATAAAAATAATTGATATTCTAAATAATTATGTCTTAAATTTTTTTGAATATTGCATAAGGCGATAATGACTGACATCAATGGAGGGAAATAGTAGCTGTGACTCATGGCAGTACGTAGTGGAGTCATAATTTTTTTTAAAGAAAAGCAATTTTATTCCAAACAAGAAAAAGAGATTACAATAAGGACCCAAAGATAGCTGAAGCAAAAAAACATCAGAAAATAGAGAATGTAAGCAAACTCAACAAAAGGACAATCAAAGAGGCAAGAGCAGAGGAACCAACAACGGAATTAGGGGTAGCAGAGTCATAAATTTTTTTCTAGTGGAGGCGTAAATTAGGTTTTTCAAATATTCTTTTAATTTTTTTGAGCTCGGCTCTAAATTTTTTTTATTGTGCTATTTTATAAAGATAAAATATAAGATGATAAAAACATATAATTTATATCATACACTTTTTTCTTATGCCTGTGTGCTTAAAATATATATATATATATATATATATTGTTAGCCTTTGAATATGCTGAAGTATGCTCTAATCATAATCTAATATATATCATTGTAATTAAGTTAATTGTTAACAATCTGATACCTTTATTTAATTCTTTTTGCAGGGCTGGCATTCAGCTTCCAACCGTTGAGGTCAGATTTGAAAACATAAATGTGGAGGCTAAGTGCCACGTGGGCTCTAGAGCATTGCCGACTCTTCTTAATGAAATAAAAAATGTTGCCGAGTCAATGTGGGCTTTTCTTGGTATAAAACTTAGTAAGATGACAAACATCAACATTCTCAAAGATGTCTCCGGGATCATAAAGGCATCAAGGTATTTTATTAATATTCTATTTGATATGCACAAAGTGGCATGCTAGAAATAGTTGCAAAGAGAGAAAGTTTCATAAGGATTATCATAAAACGTTTTAATCTACTTGAAATTTGCTTAGTTTTTTTGAGTCAGCTCAAAATCAGCTCAGCAAGTTAAATTCGACTGTTCAATACAAATTTATAGAATATTATAGAAAAAGTACTGTAGTTTTAGATAAGAAGAATTTATGTTAGATTAATGACTGATGCTGATGGTAAATATTTCGAACTTTAAACTAAAATTATGCTCTAAAGCAAGCAATTAAATGTAATTCCTCTTTTTTTTTTTGGTGTATTATAGGATGACATTGCTTTTAGGACCTCCATCTTCTGGAAAGACTACACTTTTACTAACTCTAGCTGGAAAGCTTAACCCATCACTGGAGGTTATTATCTTGGCTATTTATTTTGCATTTAGTTTATTAATTGCTATCTTCTTTTAAAACTGACAATGTTTCCTCAAATTCGGATTAAAACTGTTGGTCGTTGATATTAATCAGCGATCAATTATGTAACTTATGTTGATGTCTAATGAATTCGTTTTTGCTTAAGTTACTGCGATACTGATTTGCGTACCTTTGAAACAGGAAATTCTGTTGTATTCATTTTTGAAATTATATGAATTATTTGGTAGTTGATTTACTTGAATATAGACAAAATTTAATATTTACCTAGATTTTTTTTTTTATAAAAAATAAATATTTCTGATTGGTGACTTATCTTCAGTTGTAAACAAGTTCTAGGCACATTTTCAGCAAATGCATCACAGCTATCTGGCCATAAATGCAGGGGCAGTGGGAACTCAAATGCTAGAAAAAAAAGGAAATTAAATTTTGTTAGAACTTTATAAACTATGTAATACTTAGAGTGCCAAAAATACTGTGTTAAAGGGCATTATTATGCATTTGCTGTGTAAAATCTATTAGCTAAACTTAAATTTATTCAGAGAAGTTTATCATAAGGTTTACTTTTCCATGTCGACCTACATCAATTTTCCACATTTCATTATTCAAACTTGGAGCTACAATTTTAGGCAATTTTCGTATGTATAATAAGAAGTAGAAGATTCATCAATATAATGGTTGAATAGTATTAAAATCGTAGGATTTGGAATGAAAAGAGTAGAACAAAGATTCTGTTGATAATTTTTTTTCCAAAAAACTTGGCAAAAGAAGTTTAAAACCTCGTGTATAACTTAAAAAGAATGAATGGAGAATCTTGGTATTCACAAAGCCTATCCAAATATTTGGGACATGGCTGTTCGTGTTGATAAGGGTGAGGCTATTAACTAAATATTTATGAATAAAGGAAACTTTTTAATGTATGGAATTTGATTTAGGATGTTAATTTAAGATATATTTGAAGCTTCTTTAGGTGGCTTCCACAGATAATTTTAAAAGACAAGTATTTGCAGATGACAGGAGAAGTGACATACAATGGATACATGCTGAACGAATTTATACCACAGAAGACAGCAGCATACATTAGCCAAAACGATATCCATACCGGTGAGATGACTGTGAAGGAGACACTAGATTTTTCTGTTAAATGTCAAGGCATCGGAGATAGATATGGTAAACCTTTAAAAATCACATAGTACTAAAAATATTCTTTACTTTTATGGAGAAATTTGTTATTATTCCAAATTACGTGTCCTTTCTTAAATATTTATTGGATGGAGTCGATATTTCAGAACTTTTAAGTGAGCTGACTAGAAGGGAGAAGTTTAAAGGCATAGTACCAGACCCTGAGGTGGATCTCTTCATGAAGGTATGCAAATTGCTTTAAAGATAGAGTTCTAGATATGTTTAATATAAATACAAATTTAGGACCTCTTTTGTTGAATTCCCTTTTTAAAAACATAGAATGAAAGGAAAAGAAAAACAGTGCGTAAATCTGCTTTAATATTTTTTTGAATTTCTTAGGCAACTTCTATGAATGGCGTGCAAAGTGGTCTCCAAACAGACTATACCATGAAGGTAAGTTACTTGTTCCACTGGGATGCTAACTCCTTGTTGTGTTTAATCTCAGTTTTTTAAATAATAAGATTTTGTCAAATGTTAAATTTAAGTACGTAACTTTCTTAAATTTTTAGTTGCTGTTATCATAATTTAAATGTATCATGTATACGTATTTGAGTTTTCTTCTTGAATTTCATAACGTCCAAATTTGACGCCTTTATGATTTGTGACATTTATTAAAATTCATGAAAGCAATTTATTAATCTATGCATGCATCCAATTGAGCTGCAGATTCTAGGATTGGATACATGTGGTGACATTGTTGTGGGTGATGAGATGAGAAAAGGAATATCAGGAGGTGAAAAGAAGCGTCTTACAACAGGTTCCCATTTCTATCATTAACTTTGTATGTGTTCATCCCTTTTTTGTCCTGATAAATTATTGTTCTGGGAAAGATTCTTATTAAGCATTTTGGGTACAGTTGTGATGATGATGTGCTTGTGACATAGGAGATAAATATCAAACACACTCACATATTATCATGAGTTTCTCTATAAATAAAGCTCACATTCTTATGAAGTCATATAGAGATGTAGCGCAAAATAGTATTTTCTAAGCATATTCTCAAATAAATTGAACTATTTTTTAAAAATTTAAGTAGGAGATGATTAGTATGAAATTTTGCCTTATATAAGTGGTTGTTGAATAAAAGAAGTTTTAAATGCTTTACATGATTAACCACAAAACTATGGATCTCAATAACATCATGGTATGATTGATCCGAAATATAAATGATAAATTATTATTTTTTCATTAATAAAGAAATGAAGAGAAACAAAGAATACGAAACATCAAAATTTTAGTTATCCATAGGCCTAGATTTTAGGTCAAACATGTATATGAATATTAGTATTTTATTCCCAACTTAATTCTTTGTAGTTGCACATTTTCAATAAAAAACATATTAAAAAATAAATTAAGGATGACAAAGATCAACAGTAGGGGATAATATGCTACAGTGGCTGAAGAATCCATTAAATTTTAGGTAGAATATCTTAAAATTATGTTAGAACGGTCTAGCCGGTCCACGCAGGACCGACCCAGCGTAACCGAGGCGGAAGATCTCCGCCACTTTCGGAAGCCGTTCGGTTCGCATGAGCCAAAAGAACTTTTTAGGAAGGATTTTTTGAGGGTTTTGAGAGGGAAATTTGAATGTAGGGATTGTTTAGGAATTTCCTTTTGATTTGCATGCATTAAATAGTTTGTTTTCCTAGGGTTAGGGCATGTTGAATTTGGCTGAAATTTGAGATATCTTAGAATTAGGTTTTCTTTTGGGCTCTAGCGGCGTCTAGAGATTTGGGAGATATCGATCCTCCTCTCGAATAGAGGATCAATTGTATCTTGTTATTTTCTAATTCCCTTTTATCAAATAATACAAATTATCTATTGTTTTTGTGGTTTTGTGTGGATTTTGGTAGAGAAAGCTCGTTGTTTTATGAAGATTGATAGGAAATACTTGAGATCTGCAAGTGTTTGATCAAATTACTATAAAGCCATATTTTAATTTTTCCACCCAACATATATGCATGCAAAGGTAAGGGCCAAAGGTAAATTCATTGTTTTTTCCTAAAACTTTCAGTCTTTTAATTATGTAGAATAAATGATTAAGATATAACACTAAGATTCAATGATTAGTAGTCCGAAAATTGTTATTAAAGTTAATGGAGAATTATAAACTTTGAGCTGGCTCTACAAACTAAACTATAGTTTAAATGTTGCAACATAATTTTCTAGTAATTCTTGCATAAGGCTTAGCAATACTACCAAGCTCATGGTAATTTATATTGATCATTATATTTTGATACATACAACGAATTTGGGAAGGGGAGTTTTCATTGTAAGGATTACTTAGAAACTTAAGCATACTTCACTTGCAATAACTACAAATTTAATGCATGAAATTTTCACCAGGTGAGATGATTGTTGGGCCAACAAAAACACTTTTTATGGATGAGATATCCACAGGATTGGACAGCTCAACGACACATCAGGTAATAAAGTGCTTGCAACAGATTGTGCATCTAGGTGAGGCAACTATTGTTATGTCCCTCCTCCAACCTGCACCGGAGACCTTTGATCTTTTTGATGACATCATCCTTTTAGCTGAGGGTCGTATTGTCTACCAAGGCCCTCGCGAGCATGCCCTCAATTTTTTTAAGAGTTGTGGCTTTCAATGCCCAGAGCGGAAGAGTGTTGCTGATTTTTTGCAAGAGGTGAACTATTTGTCTCAAATCATAATTACTCTGATATTAGGGATTTGTATTATCTGTTTGCTGGTGTTTGAACTCATCTACTTTAAGCCAAGATAAGGAACAAATTTGATTTGTGCATAAATATGCTATTTATCTGCTTATATTGGTTGTATATAAAAAATATTCTTGTCTTATTCTAGATTGCAACGTTAATCAATATGCTCATCCTAAATTTTTTGACCAATCTCAAAAGTTCTAACCTTTTTTCTTGATTGGCATTTTTTATCAAAATATTAAAAAAAAATAAAAACTTGCAAGAAAAGGATAAAAAAATTCACATGCAATTGTTTAATTGCTACATTTGTGACCTCAAGTTCGAAGTTTGAATCATGGCAATAGTTTTTTCCTACTTCCCACTTATGGCACTCCCTACCAAAAAAGCATATGGAATTCTTGGATATTTGGAATTGCTAGGCTTGGCCTTAGTATTAGAATTCTATGAAATCTAAACCACTAAAGAAGGAATCTCTTGTTTAGCATTTCTTTGTGTCATTTAGCTTGTTTTTGTGCATAGAACAACTCTCAATCAGAAATGAGAAAAGCATAATAATCTTTGTGTTAAAAAAATTTCTTTTTAGGTTACCTCAAGAAAGGATCAGGAACAATATTGGGCTGATAAAAGCAAAACATATAAATTCATATCTGCAGCTGAGTTTGTTAGACACTTCAAAAAATTCTACATTGGCAGAGATCTGCAAAGCAAGCTTTCAGTTCCTTTTGACAAGAGGAAGAGCCATAGAGCAGCTTTGGTGTTCACCAAGTGCTCTGTTCCTTTGAAGGATCTCCTCAAAGCTTCCTTTGCGAAGGAGTGGCTTCTTATCAAAAGGAACTCCTTTGTTTATATCTTCAAGTCAACACAGGTGCAAAAATTAACTCAGATGTTCTCTTTTGATTATAATATAACTCACTAATACCTCAACTTGTTACAAATTTTCTGCAGCTTGTCATTCTTTCATTGATTTATTCGACTGTCTTTCTGAGGACAAAAATGCATACAGCAACAGAAGCTGATGGATCTGTTTATATTGGAGCAATACTTTATGGTTTGCTTGTTAACTTGTTCAATGGTTTTGCAGAGCAAGCACTAGCTATCATGAGGCTTCCTGTGTTCTACAAGCAAAGGGATCTCCTCTTCTATCCAACCTGGGTCTTCACCGTTCCAAATTGCATCATAAAGATTCCCATATCTATTATAGAGTCTGCTGTTTGGGTCTTTGTGACTTATTACATGGTAGGATTTGCTCCAGAGTTTAGTAGGTAAACCATTCTCCTTATTCAATAAACTCTCAACTATTTTTCTTAGTTTTATTCAGGAATTAAGTACTACTTGGAGTTGTTGGTTGTTCTTATTGTGTACAGTAGTTAGGATTCGTTTGATAATGTTATGTTGTTGTGGATTTGTTCCATCTAAAAAAAGGCATTGGTGCCTTCACAGAGATCGACAAGTTGTTCTGCAAGTACATTGTTGATGGCGTCTTATGCTTCATCCCTCTAGCCATGCAATTGCAAGCTCAACCCAACCAGATGACCTGGCAGCCTCGAAAAACTAAAAAGTAATAACTTGAAATTACTTTATAGCAAACCAAACACCTAAAAATATTTCAAATACATTTAATTTAAGTTTAAGGAATTATGTTTGAATACATAATAGGGGCATTTTAAAATATTTAAATATATTTTTTGTGCAAGTGATTGCCATTAGAAAGTGCGCAAGATTTTATTTGAAATTTAAGAAACGTCTTTTGTCCGCTTGTACAAGTGTTGTGGATCCAATGACGTAAATGCGAGTTAGGTTTTAGTTGTTATATATAGGAGATATTGTTTAGTTCATTTTGCCTCCTTCAACTTATCATTGCATAGTTTGTAGATCTTGAGAATACTAGCCAATATCTTAACTTCATGAAATATTTAGAAACTTGTTTGTATGAATGATATTTGATTTTTTTTTGGTTAGCTGATAATTGATTGTCAGCAATATAGTTCATAGTGCTCTTGTCCCTAAATCATATTTTTTGTTGATATAATTTTCTTTCATGTAGAAATTCACTTAATTTACCTGGCAACAAACAACAATTTAAAATGTATCCATATGAATCCACCCACAAGAGAAAAAAATACACCATACATGAAATTTTCAATACCAGAAACACCAATAGAGGTTGCCACACATCTAAACTCTATGCCCTATGGTATTTAAAAACCATGGATTTCTCACTTTTTTGTACCAAATATTTCTCCAGTCTTCCTATCTCTATAACCTCTAGAAATCTCACATATCTCTTGTATTAGTGTTTTCAATCTATTGACTAGATTTGATATCTAAGCCTAGAAAATTCTTTAAGGGCTTGATTAGTGTCAAACCAGATAGCGCAATTTCTTAATCAATCGAGCATAGTAAGATGAAGAGAGGAGAAATTATTTGAATTTAAAAGTTAAAATTTCTCGTATGTACTTCGACAAACATGCTAAATGTGATAAACTAAGTATAAGAATGTTGTGCAGGGTTAAAAACAAGTAAAATTAAAGACTCTTTTCAAATTAAAATTTTTTGCATGTGCTCCGACTAAATACTTCAAACTAATTAAACTTAAAGTCTAGGATTGTTGCGCGGGTCAGAATAATAGGCACAAACTAGACCCAATCCTTTGCTTGTTAGTAGTGTTGGTAAGGTCGAAAATACTAGAGTTAAAGCATTTAAAATCCCTGATGATGACTGTGTTGAAAGAAAATATCAATCGGAGGGTCCATTAAAAAAATCAAATTTTAATAATTGCAAGTATAAACACCTTAAGTGACTTTAATGTTACTTCGATGATGATTGCATTGACAGAAAATCTTAATCGAAATGGACTATATGATTTCAAAATATCACCAAATTTTAAAGTTCATCACTATGGGCTTAAATCTCATGAAAATTTAAAAATTCAATACTTATGAAAATTCAAAAGATTTAAGTGAAATTTAACCTGCTAAGAACTTACATGTATAAAGCTTGTAATTTATTGAAAGCATCATTGCATTTGTTAGATGTTTTGTGAAAAATAGTTTCTCTAGATATTGTCTTGGATGTTGAAAGCATTGGAGGAATTTTCTTGGCCACGGTTGCAGTCAAGGTTGGCCTCTAGTCCACATCTGATTCAATGAAATTGATGCAACAATGATTGATGTCAGGATATTGACATGAACAGTCTTTCAAGATTGGAGCAAAAGTTCCCCCTAGTTAGGAACGACGTTCCCACATACGGCGCCAAACAGTTGTGTCCTGGAATATTCACTGCAATAAAGAAATATAAATTTTAGCATCATAGCTTTATACGAAGATTCAACACAAACATATGAAAGATAAGGGTGTAGCATTCATAAGGGACGCCAAAGTTTTTACGTGGAAACCTCTGAAAAGGGGAAAAAAACCACGGGGTCTTGCCCAATTTAAATGAATACACTAGTGTTTGCAGTTGATTACAAATGAAGCCCTTCCTTGGGGGGAAGGCCTTGGCTCGATGTAGCAAATATACATCATATAAAGTGCATTACATGGTAGGAGTTCAAAGAATTAATTGTTGATGTATTTGTTTGGCCCGCAGGACCATAGTCGACAAGCCATGCAGGTTAGAAGGACTATAGTCAGGTGACGGTGGTTGGAAGGACTATAGTCAGGTGACGGAGGTTGAAAAGATCATAGTCTGGCGATGGTGGTTGAAAGGACCATAGTTAGGCGACGGAGGTCGGAAAGACAGTAGTCAGGCGATGGTGGTCAGAAGGATTGTAGTCGACGGGTGACGAAGGTCAGAAAGGTCGTAGTCGGGTGACGGTGGTCAGAAGGACCATAGTCGGTGGGTGACATAGGTTGAAAAGACCTTAGTCAGGTGATAATGGTGTCCAGGTAGAAGTCCTTCAATGATCGGTGGTCGGACGAAAATCCGATGACGGCCAGTGGCCGGGTAGAGGTCCGGTGACAATCGGTGGCCATACGTAAGTCCAACGAAAGTTGGTGGCCGAGCAGAAGTCCTGTGGAAGTCCGACGGCAGTCTGTGACCGGATAGTGGTCGAGGAGCAACTTGGTGGCAAGAGAGATCTCAGATTTCTCTTCCTTTCTTCTCTTCCTCTCCCCTCCCTCCCTCCTTACTTCATCCCCCTTCATGTGAAGAATGAGGGGCTGGTTATAATTTTTTAGGAATAACATAGCTAGTAAATAGGGAGAAGATCAAGGGCAAGTTGTGGGTGTTTCCAATGGACGATTGATATTAACTCCCTTGCTCATAGACCGTTTATTATGTATTTTAGTATCTTAATGATGTCAAAATTCAACAAACTTGAACTCATTGGATTCGTCTCGTCGAGCCGCTCGATAAGACTATAAGCATGTCACATTTGGTGATCATTCGGTCATCTAATATTTTGTTTGAATCTTCCAAATACTCTTCGGGTCCTCGATTGGGATCCATTTCGGCTCGGATTGAGTCGAATTAGTCTCGTTGTGTTCGTCTTTTTGAGATGTCCAGTTCAACTATATGTTTGGTGAAATCAGAGTTCAGATGGGCCTGAATTTAATTTTTGATGCAAGCAAGGCTTGCATATTTGGGCATTTAATTATGGGCTGAAGTTTGCTAAATGGGCTTGGCCCATTTTCCTTTGGCTGTTTGGTGTTTGGTGGGTGATTGGGGGCTGTTTTGTAAGCATATCGTTGCTAGGTTCATGGCTTTCGCGGTTCCCCTGGCCTTAGTTTTTCGGTTTCTGCTCTTGTTCCCTGCTTTCCCGGTTTCTTTTATTGGGATGTTTGGTTTCTGTCCCTACTTTCTCGATTCCCTTTGCTTGGCTATTTGGTTCCCGCTCCCTGGCTGTCCTTGTTCCCTTGTTGTGGCTGTTTGGGTGAGGGTCCAAACGTGCATTTATTGCTTCTTTTTTCTCGCCTTTTGGTTAGTTGTGGTGGGTGGCTGAGCATGGCTTTTGGCCTCTTTTCTTTTCTATTTATAGGACTGTTTTGTGGTTATTTAGAAGTAATATAGGTGATGATTTTTGGAGCATGAAACCTGCGGGTTTGTGTTAGCTTGCGAGCTAACTTCTTTTCCCTCTCTCTTATGAATTTGTCTCGGTTTCTTCTAATCCATTTCTTCTCTCCACAAGTAACCCTCCCATTGTATCTTTCTTCTCTAAGTGTTGATTAGTCGTATGGTGGTGTTATGTTCTTTTATTTGAAGTTGTAAGGAGTGCTTGTGTTTGTTTAAGCTATTGTTGGATATAATTGTATTTGTTTTGTTCTATTTGTGTATGTTTATGTCATTTCAAAAGGGAGACATCATCTTTGTTTTTAACCTTAGCTTCCTATAAATTTTTGTTACATCAATTTGGTATCAGAGCCCTTGGTTGTTATTCTAGTCTTCCTTTCTTCTAAAAAAAATGGAAAGTCATGATCAACCAAGTAATCTTGAAGTCCAAATTCCAACAAGCGAATGGGTCCCATCCCAAGGAAACTCTACTGATCCACTCCAGAACGTGCTTTACAAATTTCAAGAAAAAATAATTTTGTGCGCTGAAAGACATGAGAAGAGAAAGAGTCAACTTCAAGCCTAATTTATTCAGGGAAAAGAAACTATTCAAGGAAGGCATGTGGCTCTTGCACAAAAGTTGGATTTGACTCAGTCTGCGCACCTTGTAAGTTCAAAATCTTTTCATCAGGAGATGAAATTCTTCCGCCAGGTGAGAATTGATATAGACAAGATTTCAGGTTACCCCCTTCCCTATGCGGCTGCTCCTTCGGTTTATATGTGATGCTTCGAATTCCCTGCTTATTAAATGCTATTTTGATGCTTCAGTTTCCCCCGCATTGGCTGATGTGTGGTATTTCAGTTTCCCCCTAAAAGCTGTTATTTTTGCTTTGGTTTCCGCTCCCTGGCTGTCCCGGTTCCCTTGCTGTGGTTGTTCGGGTGAGGGTCCAAACTTGCATTTATTGCTTATTTTTTCTCTCCTTTTGGTTGGCTGTGGTGCGCGGATGAGCATGGCTTTTGGCCTCTTTTTCTTTTCTATTTATAAGACTGTTTTGTGGTTATTTAGAAGCAATATAGGTGATGATTTTTGGAGCATGAAACCTTTGGGTTTGGTTAGCTTGCGAGCTAACTTCATTTCCCTCTCTCTTATGAATTTGTCTTAGTTTCTTTTAATATTTTTCTTCTCTCCACAAGTAACCCTCCCATTGTATCTTTCTTCTCAAAGCGTTGATTAGTCGTATGGTGCTGTTATGTCCTTTTATTTGAAGTTGTAAGGAGTGCTTGTGTTTGTTTAAGCTATTGTGGGATATAATTGTATTTGTTTTGTTATACTTGTGTATGTTTATGTCATTTCGAAAGGGAGACGTCATCCTTGTTTGCAACCTTAGCTTCCTATAAATTTTTGTTGCATCAAATTGGTATCAGCGCTTAGGTTTTGTGTCTTCCTTTCTATTTAAAAAAAATTAAAAATATTATGGACCCTCATCAACAAATGGTGGATCCGAATCAAGAAGTTGAATTTGAAGTTGGTGAAAATCAACCAAGTGATCTTGAAGTCTCAATACCAACAAACAAATGGGTCCCATCCCAAGGAAGCTCTATCATTCCCATCCAGAACGAGTTGTACAAAATTCAACATAAAATGTACTTGTGTATAGAAAAATACAAGAAGAGAAAGAAACTTCTACAAGCTTAGTTTAAGCAAGAAAGAGAAATGATTCAGAGAAAATATGCGGCCTTAATACAAGAGTTAGATGTGGCTCCTTCAACACGTCATGAAAGTTCTAAAGTCATCTCATCAGGAGATGAGATTTTTCAACCGGGGAAGATTTGATGCAAGCAAGGCTTGCATATTTGGCCATTTAATTATGGGTTGAAGTTGGCTAAATGGGCTTGGCCCATTTTCCTTTGGTTGTTTGGTGTTTGGTGACTGATTGGGGGCTGTTTTGTAAGCATATGGCTGCTGGGTTCATGGCTTTCCAGATTCTCTCGACCTTGGTTTTTCGGTTTTTGCTCTTGCTCCCTGCTTTCCTGATTTCTCTTGTTGGGTTGTTCGGTTTCTATTCCCTGCTTTCCCGGTTCCCTTTGCTTGATTGTTTGGTTCCCGCTCCCTGGTTGTACCAGTTCCCTTGTTGTGGTTGTTCGGGTGAGGGTCCAAACGTCCATTTATTGCTTCTTTTTTCTCTCCTTTTGGTTGGCTGTGGTGGGCGGTTGAGCATGGCTTTTGGCCTCTTTTCTTTTCTATTTATAGGACTGTTATGTGTTTATTTAGAAGCAAAATAGGTGATGATTTTTGGAGCATGAAACCTACGGGTTTGTGTTAGCTTGCGAGCTAACTTCTTTTCCTTCTCTCTTATGAATTCATCTCGGTTTCTTCTAATCTATTTCTTCTCTCCACAAGTAACCCTCCCATTGTATCTTTCTTCTCAAAGCATCGATTAGTCATATGGTGCTTTTTATGTCCTTTTATTTGAAGTTGTAAGGAGTGCTTATGTTTATGTCATCTTTGTTTGCAACCTTAGCTTCCTATAAATTTTTGTTACATCAAATTTTGAAGTTCTTAATTCAAATTTATCTCGAGATTGGTGCCTAATTATGATAATTTTTTGATGATATATCAAACATAATAAAACATTATATAATAATAATATTATGGTATATTTTTCATAAATGAAAATAAGGCTTAAAAAACATTATTAGATAACATGTGTGGTTCTTGTTTTATAAAAAAATAAACAAAAATATATTTAAAATTTTCTTTGTGTGAAAGAGATGTCTGCATGAAATGGTAAGGAAGCGTATGTGTGGGAAGGAGAACAACACTGACACTTATGATAGAGACGGAGATGGAAGCGATGATGAAAACGAGCGTCTTTGATGGGGATAAAGTTAATTCCGTAGGTGAGGTTGATGAAACTAATCACAAGTGTGTGAGAATAGGCTAATGTCGTTTTTGCATCGAGTTACGACTTGTGTGCGATGGCTGCTACACAATTTTACTCTAATGTTCTCCCTTGCTTTTATTTAATAAACTTTGATTCTACTGAACCAAATTGCAACCGCATGTGAGCATCTGTTACTTGTTCTTCTCACATGATGTGTGCTCCGCAACTAACGAGTCGTTGAAATGGAAGCGTAGCGGCCTCACATAACGTCGTATCGCTTTGCTTCAAATGCGTGCATCAAAGTGCACTTTTAAGAACACTGTTAGATTAAACCAAAGACCCACATAAGCCACAAATCACATAAATCACTTGTTTTTAACTAAACAGGATTTGATTTCATTTTTCAAGGAGTATGAAAATCAAAGGAAGGCCATCGTTAGGCTTGATACACTATAGTCTTCAAACTCATATTCAACCCAAAAGTTGAAGTCTATGAAAGAGGGCCAATCACTTAGTATTTCTACTCCAAAATAGTTTTCAGTTATCCCAAGTTGGACTAAACCTAAAACTTCATTTTCCTAAACACTTTTCAATAACAAGTACTTTGAAAACTTAATTATCATGTAAATCACATTATTGTTCAAAAGAGTTGTGTGCCACAAGGATGTGATTAATTTCTTATCATTAATGAGATTTTCAAAATAATTCTTGCCAAACTATTTGAAACTTGGCATACAATTTAAGTACAGTTACATCCTTGTTTTGCCAAAAAGATACATTTATTCTCGATCAAAATTAAGCCTTGCTAAACTTCTCTTCAACTTGTATAAAATTTGTTTAATATAAATTTTTTATTGTGTTTAAGTGGTTCCCATATATTTACTAATGAAACCATTCTATTTTTCCCCTGCAGCTTCTTTAAACAGCTCCTCATCTTCTTCATAATTCAGCAAATGGCAGCAGGCTTATTAAGACTGGTAGCAGGAATTACCAGACATATGACTACTGCCAATACATATGGATGCATCTTTTCACTCCTTTTGATGTCTCTTGCTGGCTTTGCTATACCTAAAGGTTCTCACTTTCCCCTCTCAAACCTAATACAGTAGAAGTTTATCGTTAAATGTTTTAAATGGGGAACATGAAGCATTTTTGTTGCTTGAAGTCATTTTCCCTGCACTTTAAACTGAAGATATGATTGCATGGCTTACTAATGTTTATGGGATCTGTTTTTGGTTTAAAGCAAAGCAATTACACCGTTTAAAGCTCCTGGAAGGTGTTTGAAAGTGGTCGGAGCTAAGTTTTTGAAAATAAGTTTTTTGAAGGACTGAATTCAATTTGTTTTGCATGAACGAGTTTGTTCTTATATTTATTTTGGTGGTAATGATATTTTTTCTATCCATTGTTTTATTTATTTTACCTGATTCTACTATTATTGCAGTAAAACTGATAATGTCACCGAAGCTACATTAACTTTATATTATTTATCATAATTATGTATAAAAATTAAAATTGAAGGTCTTAGGCTCTCATAATTGGAAATCACTCTTATCTAGTTATCTTTCTGAAGGTGAGTTTCATTACTAGCTAGAACTCACTCATATAATTTTTTTTTCCAAACGTCGGGAACTCAGTCCAGGAAGGTAGTTCTAACCACAAAAATACTTTTGTTGAAACAAGGTAGTCCCCAAATATAGGATTATTTTTTTTTAAGAATAAAAATTTATCCCAAATATTTACTTAATTGATAGCAGGATACATGTTCAGTTACAGAAAAAACTGTTTTAATAGAGGAAGCTTGAGAGTTTAGTTCAACTCAACATTAAAACCACTTTGCAGTCGATAAATACAACTTTTTTGCTTTCCATGCATCCTTTTACTCAACTATTTTCATTTTAAGCCAAAGGTCTGGTCAAAGTCTATTCGCAGTATTAATACGACTATTACATCTAATAATGCTAAGAAATTTTATGAAGATAAAATGATCGCAGTAAAACAATTAGTCGACTCACCAGTCTCTATGTTTGTTATATTTATTTTTTTTTCTACCATGTTTCTATTATTTTCTATATATAAACAATCTTGAGATTTTCATGGCAGCTTTGATGCCAAAATGGTGTCGCTTGGGTTATTGGATTTCACCGCTAACCTATGCATTTAATGCTATCGCAATCAATGAGATGCTTTCTCCTAGGTGGATGGACAAATTTGTAAGTATTAATCTAAAATTACATTCTTCTTCATTTAAGCTTGTTGTTTATGCAAAGCTACCATGACAATGTCCTCACCATTTGCAAAATCATATGAGATTAACTTCTTCTGCACATTTGGTGTGTTGAGGGAGGAAAAATAAAAATCCATTCCGTACAAAATTAATGTTTTGGGATTTTCACTATTGTTCATCCCTAAATATATGAATTTCTTGATAAAAAACCTTAATCTATATATTTTTACTATTATGCCACCAGTAAACATTCATTAACAACAAGCATTAGTTAACTAGTCCTTGCACAAGGCTTGTGGAGGATTGGAGGACCAGTTACCACTAGGTAGTCTTCCCTGATAGTATGCCAATACATTGCAAAAGTTGCTAACCCAAGACAGGCGTTGGGGTTTCAAAAAGATGCCAAATTGTCAAAAAAAAAATGCGGTCCATCAAACAATAATAGAGAATTATTTTCATAATCATGGTGAACTTTTTGATAATTTTAAATATTTAACAACTTTTAAGGCTAGCATCAGCTAGATCGAGTGGGCATTTTAGTTAGAGTTGAAGAATAATCTACCAATAAAATTAAAATTAGAATGATACAATTGTAAATTTATATATTTGATGCAGCACACAAATAAAAATCTTCAGATTTTCATGATAGCATCTGTTACATAGATTCAACCTGATCTGGCAGGCACCGGATGGCAGGAGATTAGGGTTGGCAGTCCTAGAGAATATGAATGCCTTCACGGATAAGAGCTGGTATTGGAAATCAGCTGGTGTTCTTTTAGGTTATGCCATCCTCTTCAACATCCTCTTCACACTATCCCTCCAGTATCTAAATCGTAAGTCGTCGAGAGCATCAAATACCAACAAGGCTTATATGAGAATGACCATCTTTGCTTAATTTCATTGTGACAGCTCTGAGCAAGCCAAATCCACTGCTGTCAGAAGAACCAGAAGTGGAGGTGAAAGATCAAAAACATGTTGCTGTTGACAATGGAAATATGTGTAAACGTCAACTCTCACTATCTTATATATATATTTTTTCAATTAGCTCAGAATCCTCTGTGATACTCTTCACATTATTTCATTTACAGTAGAGATGAAGGAACAAAGTTGGAGTACTGACAGTAGCATTGCTTCACCAGATTGGCGTAGTTGTGAAACATATAAAAACAAAGCAAGCAAATCTGGATCTATTGGTGGAATGGCTCTTCCTTTTACACCCCTTGCCATGTCTTTTAAAGAAGTGAACTACTATGTCAACATACCTCCTGTGAGCGCCTCTTCCTTGCTTATGAAACAAATTGAAAGGAGAAAGTTACTGTTTACTATTTCAGTGGCAGTAGCAATGAGATTGATGAAACCGTTTACTTTTTTAGGAAATTAAAAAGCAGGGGGTCACTGAAGATAGATTACAGTTATTGAGGGGCGTTACAGGGGTTTTTCGACCAGGAATCCTCACAGCTCTCATGGGTGAGAGTGGAGCAGGAAAGACAACACTTCTGGATGTATTGGCTGGTAGAAAGACTGCAGGCCATATTGAGGGAGATATTAGAATTTCTGGCTACCCCAAGAAGCAATCAACATTTGCAAGGATTTCAGGTTACTGCGAGCAATTTGATGTTCACTCTCCTCAGCTTACTGTTGAAGAGTCACTAATCTTCTCTGCATTTCTTCGCCTTCCCAAGGAAGTCAGCGAAGAAGATAAACTTGTAAGTTGAAATTCTTTAATATATCAACCTTTTTTGCAGTACTGTTGGTGTGTGTGTTGATTTCATTTAGAAGATCATTATAGTTTAGAATATTATTTTTCATTAGTTTCAGTACCTTAAGTTAATGAAAAAAATTCAAGATTAATATTTTATTCACATGGGTTTCAACCAACACAAAATGGCGACAAGAAAGAACTTCAAAGGCCAGTTTTGGTATCATTTTATTTTGGTTTTGTTTCTATTGTGATTTCGCATTGTTCTGTTTTTATTTATTTTCAATTTCAAAGATAAACAAAATGTATTTGGGCAGTACATAGAAATATGCAAGTTATTTCATTTTATGTGGCTATAAACCATTAAGTTTTATTTATATGGCAGTCTCTTTTGTTAGAAGCCATATTCTAAGCAACAGTATTTTTAATCATCTTGTTAATCTTAAATAATTTGGAATTCATAATATCAAACAATGTAAATGAAAATGTTAAATAATAGTAACTATATCTTATAACTTGAAAACACCACCAAATAATATCCTCAAGTCATTCACTATAGCTTTGTATTTTTGTAACTCATGACAACTTTTTTGTCAAGATAAAAGTATGTATCGTTTGCAGCCTTCACTAGCAAGAGGCAGGCTAAACTTGTTTGCAACCTACACTGACATGAGAAAAATATTAAAATAGGCACTGCACTATTTATGGGAGGCAGTTTATATTCAGACTATCTTATATGTTAAATTTAGTCATTTAATTCTTCAAATTTAATCCAAAATAGCCCATTGACTCCCCAATCCAAATTAAATCAACAGGGGACTATTTTAGATCATATTTAAAAAGTCAGGGACTAAATTGAACAAATTTACGATTTGAGATTAAATGGCCTCATATAAATAGTCCATGGACTATTTTGACCTTTTTGTCCTAACATAAGGTATGCTAAACTAGCTGAATTCAATGTTAACCAACACTCATAATGGCAGGAAAATTATGAACTTTTTTTTCTATTGTTCGGAAAATGCCAAAACACTACAGAAAAATCGCCAATTACTGGCGGGTTTTTTCGGTGGCTTGCCGCCGGACTATTTTCCGGCTTTTCGGTGGCCTAATTTTTCATAAGAATTTCTGACGGTTTTTCGACGGCTTGTACTAATTTTTTAAAATTCATATTTTCATAATTTAATTAATTAATACTTTTTAGTTTATTTTTAATAGTCAAGTAAGGCGGAAGCTCTAGCAGGTAAGGCGGGCTAGGCGGGCAAGGCAGGCTGGGCGGGCAGCACGGGCAGGCCTCTTGTTGGGCAGTGTGGGCATGGCGGATGGTTGGGCCGCCATGCAGCTTCATTTTTTAATTAATTTTTTGATATTTTTCGACGGTTTTTTTCTGCTGGAAAACCGTCGGAAATATTTGCGGCCAGAAAATACCGCCGAAAATATTTTTCCTACGCATGTTTTACCAGCAGAAATTTTGTCGTCGGAAAGCCGCTGGAAATTTACAAAATCGCCGGTAAACGAGCATTTGCCACCAGAAAATGCCGCCAGTAAAACACGGTTTTCTATAGTGAAATCTGCTAGAAATAGTTTTTTTTTTTTCTTAAAATCTAGGGAGACTTGGCATAGCATGAGACTTGAAGTAATTATTTTCAAGCACCAAAGGCTTCAAGTGGAATCTATGAGTAGCTGGCTAATGAAGCACTTCATTTCAATTTTCTTTCAGTTTCTCTCAACTTTTTTTTCTCGTCTCTTCTTTCCTCCTTTTATCCTTATGGATCCAAAAGAGGGCTTGCATTTTGAATTGAAAGTCATAGATTAGAGTCTCGAAAACAATATCTCTGTAATATTAGGTTGAGGCTACATACATCAACCCCTCTTGAGGCCCTATGTTGGCGGGCAGCTTAATGCACTGGGTATGCTTTTATTTACTCCAAAATGTCACCTCGTTGGAAATCTCTATCATCATTAAACATTCAATCATACAGGTATAAATGGAGAAGATTAAGTGATTATTCTCCCCAAGAACCATATTATTGATTGGAGAAATGGATATACCATTCTTTTCACCATATATCACTACTAATGCATTTATTTAACTAAATGAAATTTATTGTCAAACATTATCATCAAATAAGATGAATGGTACTTGTTTATGAAACATCCATGGAAAATTACAGAACTGCATAACGGTAAACATGATTTAAGAATATGTAATATTACTGTTTTAATTGTCACCAACATGAAATTCAGACCACAAACTTCAATATTTTTTGCATACATAGAAGAATTGATCAAATTGAGATTCATCTATTTTTTAGAGATTCGTAGGCGTAGTGATGGAGCTAGTTGAGCTCAAAGTCCTCAAGGATGCATTGGTAGGGATTCCAGGAGTTACTGGTTTATCCACAGAGCAAAGGAAGAGGTTGACAATAGCTGTCGAGCTTGTTGCTAACCCATCAATAGTATTCATGGATGAACCAACATCAGGCCTTGATGCAAGGTCGGCTGCTATTGTCATGAGAACAGTAAGAAACACTGTCAACACAGGAAGAACTGTTGTTTGTACCATCCATCAACCGAGCATTGACATATTTGAATCCTTTGATGAGGTAATTAAGGGAAAATCAAATAACCTTTCTATGCAATTTCAAGTTTAATTATATGTTCTCATGAGGTTTTGACTTGCAGCTACTTCTACTAAAGAGAGGGGGTCAATTAATATACTCTGGACCTTTGGGCCCAGATTCCCAGAAGCTTATTGGCTACTTTGAGGTTGGTTTCCTAAATTATTTATATCTATATTCACAATTGACAGCGTGACCATTGATTATTTTCTGACATATTAAGACAATTACTGCACTGTATTTGACAAGTCAATGTCATTAAAAAAAATACTAAGTACCATTGCACTCTGATTGTTCGTTTGTAAAAAGAAAATATATTTTTAAACTAATAATGCCATTTTTTATCCATGTTACGTGTGAAAAGGAATCTATCACTTTGAAAGGATTTGAAGGTGTTTGTCTAGTTTATAATCCATATTGATTTCCTAGCATATCCAATCAAATGGTGGAATCCATTAAATTAATATTTTTTAAAATGTTTTTTTCTAACTTAAAGCAACCAAATAATCCCATATGGAAGTTTTGAAATAAAAAAAAAATGCACAATAAGACCATGAGTGGCTATAACTTAATTTAGCAAAGCATCTTTAAGGGTTCTTCAGTATTAAGATTACATAATAACTGCATCAAGCCAACATACGTTCAACCAGGTCTCTTTCCTATATAAAAGTGCAATGTTGACTTACTAATTTGTCATACATAATTTGTTTTTATATGTAACATATTAGAAAAATGATCAAAATAGTCCCTTGACTCTTTATGAAGGACCAAAATGGTCCCCAATTATATTAAGGGATCATTTTGATCCCTCAAAAATAATCTCGTGGTGGGACTATTTTAATTCATTTTTTAAGAGTTGAAGGATCAAAATAGTCCTTTAATATAGTTGGGGACAATTTTGATCTTTCATAAATAGTCAATGGATCATTTTAGTTCTTTTCTCATAACATGTTACATGAGAAATTATGTTGCAAATATGTTGACTTTTTAGGTGTGAATAGCATTGCCCCTCTTTATAAGATAAAATATTTGTATGTTACCAACAGTCTGTTCCCGGAGTTCGCAAGATCAAGAATGGACGCAACCCAGCAGCATGGATGCTGGAAGAAAGTTCTATAACATCTGAAGCAAGACTGGAAATTAATTTTGCAGAAATATACAAATCCTCAGCTTTACACAAGTAAGTGAAAGAGCATATTAAATCGTGTTTTAAATAGAACCACAACTACTCGTCAATTTAAACTCTAATTTTCATATTCATAATCTAAAATTGCAGCAATACTAACTTTATCTATATGTTTGACATTCTTTTATCTGCATTGCCTTCATTAGGCGCAATAAGGCTTTGGTAAAAGAACTGTGCAAACCATTTCCCGGCACTTTTGATCTTCACTTCTCAACACAGTACGCTCAATCTAGCTTTGATCAATTCAAGATCTGTCTATGGAAGTATTGGTCAATATACTGGAGGAACCCAGAGTACAATCTCTCAAGGCTTGGCTATACTCTTGTGGCTGCTATACTGCTTGGTTCCATTTTCTGGAAGATTGGACTTCGCAGGTTTATAAACGCATAAATAGAATGTTATAGTTCAAAGTTGGTGGATTGAATCTTCTTGGAGCGAACAAATGTTTCTATTTTTTTTTTTTTTTCAGGGATAGCTCAACTGATCTTAATTCTGTCATTGGAGCAATGTACCTTGCGGTTCTTTTTCTTGGGTTTGGGAACTGCTCCACCGTGCAAACCCTTATTGCAAATGAGAGAACTGTATATTACCGTGAAAAGGCTGCTGGGTTGTACTCAGCTCTGCCATATGCTCTCTCTCAGGTACTTATATTTATTAACCCGTACTAATTTTATCTAGTAGCAATGTGTACAAATTTCTTTAAAATTATGAGAGAGAGAGAGAGAGTTATTGAGCGACGTAATACTAATGTTTCTCAAAATCAATTTGGATTCAATACTAATGTTTCTCAAAATCAATTTGTATTCATGCCGGATAGATCTACTATGGAAGCTATACATTTATTGAGAGGTTTGATGGTGAAGTATAAAGAGAATAAGGAGGTTCTACTTATGATATTTATTGATTTAGAGGAAGCATATGATAAAGTTCCAAGAGAAGTGCTATGGAGAGTTCTAGAAAAGAAAGAGGATAGTAATGCGTATATTCAAGTCATTAAGGATATGTATGCATGAGCTATCATTTGTGATCAAACACAAGGTGGTTTGACACTTTAACCAAGTATTGTCCTATTTTAGTTGGATTAGATCAAGGATCAGCGTTAAGCCCATATCTTTTTGTTTAGTTATGGGTGTTCTTACTAGACATTTACAAGAGGATGTACCCTGGTGTATGCTTTTGTTGATGATATTCTTTTTGTTAATAAGACTAGAGAGGGAGTGGAAGGTAAACTTGAATTATGGAGGTCAACTGTAGAGTCTAATGGTTTTTGTTTCTAAAATTGAATACATGGAGTGTAAATTTTAGTAGTAATAGATCTAGTGGAGAGATTGTGGCATTGGGCAATTAAGTCATTAATAAGAGTACATGTTTTAAATATCTTGGGTCTATTGTTCAGAGTGAGGGTGAAATAGATGGGGATAGTCTTAGTAGAATTCAAGTTGGATCGTTGAAATGGAGGAATGCATCAGGCTTTTTGTGTGATAGAAAAGACCCCCTCAAACTTAAGGAAAATTCTATAAGATGGTGGTGAGACCTGCAATGCTTTATGTGCAGAATGTTGGCCATTTAAAAGTAGCATAATATTAAGTAAAGTGTTGTAGAGATGAGGATGCTCAGGTGGATGAGTGGATTTTCTCTTAGAGATAGAATACTGTTGACCTAAAAACCTTCGTTCGGACCAAACCCACGATCCAACCATCGTCCCCACGTCACAACCACTTCCCCACAATCGCAAATAAATGCAAACTCACGACACAAAAGAGCGAAACGTCTCGCATTCGGAGCCACATGCACATAGAGAAAGAAGGGATTCCGAAAACTTACCTCTTCTCCCCACTCCTTACCTCTCGGCACAGGGAGGGGACGCCGGAAGGCTTCCGGGTTTTCCAGTAAAAGCAGAGAACCTAAAACTAAATGAAATAGGGCCCAATTTGAACTCAAAAGACCTAAATTAAAACTTGAATTAGAACACATGCAATGAGTATGATATAATGTTTGAAATGAAATTATAAATTGCAAAATTACAAGGTCTAAATTAAATGCAAATGGGCACTAATAGAAGAATCCCTTTTATCCTTCAATCCTCTTCTTAAAAATAATTATGTGTTGAATTGTCTAATTCCCTTATTGAAAGTAAGCATTAAAGGAACCCAAGCTGTGTTAAGGAAAAGGTGGGCTTGGTCCATATCTTGCTAGGTGAAGACAATAATGAATGTTGTAATGTGAAGGAGAAGAGGAATTTGCAATGAAAGCTCATTTGGAGACAATCTTGATATGTAAAGTGAAGAGATTCTCATAGTAGTTCACAAAGGAAGGCAACAATAAGGAAGATAGTGTGAGAAGTCTTAATCACATGCATGCTTTTCCTTGTGTTAGATTCACTTTTATGAGTCCCAAGGACTAATCTCCAAAACACACATTCTCATTCAACTATATAATATTCGCACATATAGATGATCAAAGAATAAGTGAAATGGAAAAGTAGTATATTGAGTTTCAATGTATGGGCATTGACTTTGACTCCAACTACAATTGACAAGGAAAAAATACAAGAAACAAAAACTCATGTTCAACAAACATCTTTACAAGTGGATGGTCCTCCTCTCAGTTATATATGTGACTTCCAATTCCAAGTCTTCAATTAAACGTATAGAGCATGTTACTTGAGAAAAAAAATGAGCTCAATTCATCAAGATCTAAGATTGTTAGAGTGTCAAACTATTTTCTTCAACCCAAAGATAAAATACAACACACTACAACTCACCTGTAAATGAGAGAAGACAATTCGTAGTGCCCATAATGATTATCCTATGGGCATGGACAAGAAGCTCATATAAAACAAACTAGCCTGTTTAAGGATAGAAGTTCATGATACCATTCACTTATAAGCGGGAATGAGGGATTGATAGTTCACATAATTAGCATGTAAGTAGCATTAAGAAATTCATGACTAATGATGTAACCCACTCACAAATAAGAACACAATCTCCTAGCATTTATTGAGCAAACCTCCTTTAGGAATTGTGTCAAATGATAACTTGAAGGAGACGAAATTAAATAATATCTCTTATGTATATTACTGAAATTTTAACATCAACGGATCCGCAACATGTGGACAAGCGGACAGAAGACGTTCGTAGGGCTTTAAAAGAAATCCCAAGCTATTTTTTTAAACAAAATCACTTGCGCAGATGGATCATATTTAAATATTTTAAAATCCCCTCTTATGTATCAACTATGATCCCTTAAACTGAAGTGCTAAACCTCCTACATGTGCTCCGACAAAAGCAGTAAATTCCTAAACACAAATGTCTAAGAATACTGCGCAGAGCCAAATACTCATTCTATTTTCAAACTAAACAAAACCCTGCATGTGTTCCGATCGTCACATCTGAATCTCAAATCCAACGATTCGAGAATGCTATGCTGGTCAAATATTTAAGTCTCATCCTACTCGAAAGGACTGGAGTCGGCACGACTTGCATTACAAAATGCCTCTCAAAATTGTACAAAATAATACAAGTGACTTTGAAGTCACCCCGATGATGACCGTGTTGACCAAAAATCTCAACCAGAAAAGCCAAATCTCAAATCCAATACAACTCAAAAGTTCTTAAAATGAAAAATATCACCTAAAAACCTAAAACTAAAACCTATCCACCTCCCGCAACCGTTTATCGGGGGTGATAAATTTGAAATTATCCTTAGCTCACAAAGAGCGAATGCATGTCGGGTGTATCACTACGATTCATCCTTAAATAGTCTCTTGCCAACAGGGACATGGCACGTGCCCTCTAATCGGGTGATTTTGCTGCAAAATGACATCATTATATTACGATCACGGCCAAAGCCCATATGTTCTCTAACGGCGTTAAACCCTTGAGCGATGGATCATAGGGTATATTTGATGGGCATAAAAATCTCTGTCAGCTAAGGTGGGTTCAGATCTATCCCTTTAGACAAACACCAACCTAGGTCTACAAGGTATTCTTGGACGAAGCAACTCATGGCTGCTGACAAGGTTCCTTCTGTCAAGTTGGGTCGATTACCTCCTCTGACTGAGTAGACCAGGGAACATAACAGTCCGGGACGACGGAACCATGGGATCTTGATCGGGCTTGTCTTCATTCCCCCCACCACCAGTTTTAAGTTTATGGTGATAAACTCTAAATTTCAAACTTCAAAATCCAAATTCAAAATTCAAACCCTAAAACTATTGCTATTATACGCTGAATTTATAATCCATACGACCTCCTTAACGACTAGCCTTAATCGAAAGTTCTCTCTTATTATCGGGAGGGGTAATTAACTATAGGTGCTTACGCCTATAGAAACCAGAACTCAGATAAAAAAGTCCTCACAAAATGAGGGTGAAATCTTTGAGTAGTGTCTTATATAAAACCTACCGGAACTTAAGCTCGTTAAAACTCTCTGCCGTCGTCATCATCACACGAACACTAAAAAAAAAATAATAGATTGATGGCGCGGAGAGGCCGGAAGCGCATCTTAATGGAATTTTCGGAGCCCACAAATATGAAACCGGCCTATATGTAGAAAGGTTGGAGTGGCTCAAGTTGTAGATAAGATTAGAGAGTTGTATTAGATGGTTTGGTCACATAAAACGTTGGCCATCTGATGACCCGATCAGGAGAGTAGATGTATTAGATTTGACTTATATTAAGAAAGCTAAGGGTCTACCTAAAAAAAATTTGTTAGAAAATATTAAAAATAATATTTCTTTATTAGATTTAAATAAGAATATGACTCTTAATAGGGCATAATGGAGAAAAATGATTCGTGTAGCCGACCTCACCTAGTGGGATAAAGGCTTGATGTTGTTATTGTTGTTATATATATATATATAGGGTACACATGAATTTCAAATTTAAACCTTAACTTACCGGTTTAGTTGGTTCAGATTTAACTCTTGTAATTTGACAATTCATGTGTATTCACTTCATTATGTTATGTTTAATTTTGTTTTTATTTTTTACATTTTAATGTGAAAATTCCTTGTACTTGCTTGATCTATTCTCATTTTATGATTTAGTTATAAAGTTATGCTTAAAAGAAAAGATTTAACTGTGGTTAATTCAGTTTCAGTTTCTAAGTGTAAAGTTGATTTGATTTGATTCCAAAAACAAATCCTTGGTTTGCAACTAAGCCTTTGTTTGTGACAACTTTCTTAATGCTTCTTAAAACAATTTTTAGTATAAATTTTTTTAAAATTTTTATACTAAAAAACTGTTTTAAGAAGCATTAAGAAAGCCGTCCCAAACAAAGCCTAATTGAATCATAACCACCCTTCAAAAATATCGGTCTAGGCAGTGCATATGAAACATAGTTTTTGCGATGCTGCTGATTGTATGAATCACATCTTTTTTACTTTACCGAATGCATATAATGAAGAAAAATAATGAACGTGTTCTTCATGTTGGGAGCAGGTGATCGTTGAAATACCATACGTGATCTTCCAGACAGTTTACTATGTGATTATTATCTACTCCATGATGAGCTTCCAATGGACTACATTGAAGTTTCTTTGGTTCTTTGTTATCTCCTTTCTGACCTTCATCTACTTCACATACTTTGGGATGTTATCAGTGGCGGTGTCTCCCAACTCACAAGTTGCTGGAATCTTGTCTGCGTTCATCTTTTTTCTTTTCAATCTTTTCTCCGGGTTCTTCATCCCAGGGCCAGTGAGTATTTTACTGCTTTATCCTAAGAACTTCTACATGATTTTCCGAACAAATAGCATTCGTTTTTTGTCCAAGTAATCTCTTTTTTTGGTGAATTAGTTCCTCACTACATATATAACGAGAGGAAATATAGAGGACCTTTGAAATAAAAATTTTGGCTTCGTTTGGAACAGCTTTTTTCCTGCTTCTTGAAGCAGTTTTTTAGTATAAAAATTAAATTTTTTGTACTAGAAAGCTGCTTCAAGAAGCAATAAAATAACTTTTTAGTATAAAAATTAAATTTTCATCGAAGAGAAGTTCTCTTAAGGTTTTGTTTGGGACAGCTTTCTTGCTGCTTTCTAAAACAACTTTTTAGTATAAAAATTTTTTGAATTAGAAAATTTTGTGCTAAAAATCCATTTTCGAAAGCAATAAAGAAGCCATCCCAAACAAAGCCTAAGTCTCTAACTAGTGAATTTGGAACTGCAGGAACTTCCCGTATGGTGGGTGTGGTACTACCGGATCTGTCCCGTGTCATGGACATTTTACGGTCTTATTGTGACACAATACAGTGACATGGATGACCTGATAAAGATTCCAGGTCAGTCCGACCAACCAATCAGAGACTATGTTATGCATCATTTTGGCTACAGGGATGACCAGAAGCACATTATGCTTCTTGTGCTTTTGGGCTTCACCCTTATGTTTGCTGCCATATATACTTACTGTATTAGGTCTATAAACTTCCAGCGAAGGTAGATTTGAGAGGATTTTCACCTGAAACCACACTATACTTTGAGCTAAGTTTTTGCCAGTGGCTCACAATAAGAGAATTTTGGAGCAGACGAGAGCATTTTTTATAGAGAAAGATTTGTGACACTAATTTTTCCTTAATAAAATAATGTTTTCTTTGTCTTGGATTTATATATTTTCTGCTGATTTTGTACTAGAAGAGTTCACTCAGTGGCGACCAAGTTGCAGATTTTATTATTGGCTGGATGACTACCTTGCAAGGTCGAGTCCCTAGCCCATGACATGATAAAGAATTTTGCATTTGAAAGAGAATTTCAAATGCATCCAATATCATTTAAGTAACATTGAATGTTTGTAATTTATCATTTCAAATGCATCATCTATTTTTAATATCTAAAATGATTGAAATTAAATATTTGTAAATTAAATTTAATTACTTGATTAATTTTTCTTGTTTCCTCATTAAATTGAGACTTTAATCAATTTGATTTCTTCCTATTAAACAATTATATACTATTATTTTAGTTAAAACTAAAAATTATATATTTATATATTTTCTAAATTGGACAGGAAAGAAGAAAATTTTAAATCACTTACTTCTGAATGGAGACTCACGAACTTCTCTTTCTTCTTCCTCCTCTTGCAAAGGAGAGATTCTCCTCCAACTTTTCTCTTTCACACAATTTTTCTCTCCCTCTCCCAAATTCCTTTTCTTCCTTTCGTTCACTGCTCCCGACTTCTCTTTTTTCATTTGCGGGTTTCACTGGATGAAGCGAAATATAATTATCAGGAGCTGCATATTTTTTCTTACCATCGCACTTCATTGCTCGGTTGGCTCGCCCGTTCCCTTGATCACTCGCCTAGCCCGTTCCCGCATTCGCTTGATCGTCCAATTCATACTGCTCTCGCCCGCTCGGTTGCTGAGATCTATAACGAAACGATTCAGCTGAATCAATCCATTCGGGTGTTACAATTCACACTAGATCATGGTCATTTATATGAAGATTGCATTGGACTCAATTAGGGTCAGTTAGGTTCTATAACCATATAATTTAGAAGATCTTGGATTGATAAAGTCAATACTCCAAACTTCGGGTGAGTTTTTTTAACCAATTTATTAATATTTAATCGCCCAAACTCACATATTGATTAGTCTCCGTTTAGCCATAAAGGCTCGACCGATTCTCCTTATCCAACTGGTCATCCCAAACATATGTCTTGATGTATCCAACTTTAATAATCATCTCCTATTTGAGATTTTTGACCATATGTAATCATGTGATAGAAATCACTTGAAGGTTTCAAGTAGATCTTATCAATCTCGGGAAAATAGCGAGAAATATCAACAAATCCTACGAAAAATTAAAGAAAATAGGAATTTTATTGCAAGAATCAAATAGACGGAAGAAAATAACAAGATACAATTGATCCTCTATTTGAGAGGAGGATATTTCTCTCCCAAATCTCTAGACACTACTAGAAGAAATTATTGTGTACTCAATCCGAACGTGTTCGGATTTGCGTACACACTGCTTATTTTGTTGCGTATTTTTTGATACATAATTTTTTTTACGTATTTTAAGTAGTAAATAAATAATACTCACTAAATACACAAAAAATACGCAAAAAATATGTAGAAAAAATAATGTATCAAAAAATACGCAACAAAATAAACAGTGTGTACGCACATCCGAACACGTTCGGATTGCGTACACAATAATTTCTCCACTACTAGAGCCCAAAAGAAACCTAAACCTAAGAGATCTCAAATTTAGCCCAAATTCAAGATGAAATCCTAACCCTTACAAGAGAAACTATTTAAAGTAAAAAATATTACAAAATCCCTAATTAGCCCTTAATTCAAAAATTTTCTCCCAAAATAATATTTAATTGAGTTGTTCTTTTTCTAAGCAATATTTAATTGAGTCACTCTCAAAGTAATATTTAATTGAGTTTTTTTCCTCCCAAAGCAATAGTTAATTGAATTCCCTCCTAAAGCATTATTTAATTGAATCCCCTAATTCAAATTAGACCGGTCTAACATCATGTTCTAGCAACTATAATAGCTATCAGTTATGCTTGTCATGTTGCCTCTGATCAACAAATGACTCATTCACACCTAGGAAACCTAATTTTATCTGTCACCATTACCATGGAAATTTCTTAGAGAACCCTTCATATGGCTAGAAATTGCTCCAAAGCTTTGCAATGATGGTCTCGTTGCAGTGTGTTCAACTCATTTAGGGTTAGACTCACTAGGTTTTATTTATGCTATATTCTGCAAACATGAAAGCTCTATAACTATCAATATTGCACTATTTTTTCTCCTACATCATCATCATCATCATTTAATCATAATCATTATACCCTTAGTAGTTGGATACAGAGAGAGAGAGAGAGAGCTCTATAATACTTCATTTGTTAAATGAAAGCCAATCCCACTACCCTTATAATGGACATAGGTTATTTTGGCATATACAACTTCCATTAATTTATGTGTTCTTCAAGTAGGGTTGTCAAAACAGGGTCGCGGATCGGGTTCAGGTCCAACTCGAAATTGACCCGACATTGTTCAACCCGACCAATTTTTGCAAACGGGTAGGTTTTTCGAACCAGAACCCGACCCACTTTGGGTCCGGGTCAACCCGAACCTGACCCGATTCGGGTATATTTTATTAAATTTTTTTAGTTAATTCAATTTATTTAAATCTAAATCAAATTAAGGTAAGATTTACTTCAATTAATTTAAAATAAATCAAGATTAATTTAATTTGGGCAACAATGTTTATAATTTTTTGAAATATCATTTACTTATTTCATAAAAATCCATTAAAACCCTCCTAAATTAATTAAAAATGGGTCAAACCGAGTTGATTTCAAATTTTCGGGTCAACCCAAACCCGACCCGGTTTTCAAACGGGTCGAAATCCCTAATCCGAACCCGACCCAGTTCGAGATCGGTTTTTGAATCGGATCACATATTGACACCCCTATCTTCTAGTATGATTTTTTTTTTCTACTTTTTTCTTCACTTTTCTACAACTATCTGATTTGTTAGCATCTACATGGCACCAAAAAGAGATCTGATAACACAAGTAGCATGCATTAAAAAAGCAAGGATATTAATAAGGATTCTTAATTTTGGAGCATATACAAGTTTAATTAACAAAACAATTAAGTAACATATAGGAAAAGGAAGAAGATGATACTTTTTTATACTTGCATTAATAGAGTAACATACAAGCTAACATGATCTCCTTAACACCATAGAGGCTCACCTCTATTTCTCGATCACTATCCCTTTATATGTAAAAAATGTTGGTCATAATGGGAAATTAATGATAATAATAATAATAATATGATATAGGTTTAGGTACAATAGGAAATCATAATTATAAATTTCGAGTGGGGATGGAAGCATCAAGTTATATGATTACCCTAAATCCCAAACGTGTCGATTTTCTGGACCCGCACCCAACCTGCTTCGGGTTCGGGTCAACTCGACCCGACCCGACCCGCTTCGGTTTGATTTTTCGAGTTCCCGCACGGTGCAGCGGTGGCGGTCAAATATCTAATAGTTGATTTCTCCATTGGTTTGTTTATCATTGCCACGTGTTTATTCAACTACATACATGGAAGCATATCATTCAAGACTTTTCTATTATCCTCCCCCATATTATCTGTCTCCATTAATTATGAGAGATTATTCCGTGTGGATGCCGAACGCAGTTCATCATCCGAAGACTAACCAAAATTCGTCACGTCAGTGGTACCGAGCCGCTGTACCGAGCAGTACCTAGCCGGGTATCCAGCAGGGGGTGACGTGGTGCATTCTAGTTGGTCTCCGGTTGACGTTCGACATCCACACAGAATAATTTCACTTCCATTACCTCTGATTCCATAGTGATGAGTTATTTTCCATCATATGTTTCTACATCAATCAATCTACACTATACTCATTGGGGCCATTTCTTAGTAAACTAATATAATTTGATGATGCTACCACCAGATTATCCCATTCATTTATGGCTCATGTTCTTGATGAAATTAAAATTTGAACCCCTTTGATTAGGGAAAGATGATTAACAACTATTAACATAGTGATTGATAAAAAAAATTAAATTTGAAGATTTGCCTACTTTATTTGTCTTGCAAAACTTTCCATCATGGTTATATTGATTGTTTCAAGGCTCATTTTGAATTAAGAAAATTCTCTTGTGAGAGCCATATTATTTAGCATAGCTCTTGAGATTATGTTATAGGCACACAAAATTTATGTGTGGTAAGTAGTAATGATCAAATTGATCCAAATACCTTGTTGGTAAATGCTCCCTCAACCTTGATCCCCATAGAATGTTCTTATACTCAAGATACTACATTGCGATGTCAATATTTGACACGACCCGAACCCAACCCGAAAATTTTGGGTTCAGGTCAACCTGCTGAGTTTGGGTTAGGGATTTCTACCCGTTTGTAAAATTGGGTCGGATTCATGTTGACCCGTAAACCCGAAATCAAACCGGTTAGATCCATTTTTAATTAATTTAGGAGGGTTTTGAAAGATTGACTATTTTTAAAAAATAATAAACCATGTTGCCCAAATTGAATTAAGCTTGATTTATTTTAAATTGATTGAAGTAAATCTTACATTAATTTGATTTAGGTTAAAATAAATCGAATTACATAAAAAAAATTAGTAAAACATACCCGAAGAGGGTCGGTTCGGATCGGTCAAACAGTGCTGGGTCAACTCCAGGTTGGACCCGAACCCGACTCGTGACTCGATTTTGACAGCCCTATCACTACATCAGACTCATCTTTTGAGTCTCTATCTTCTCTAGTAGTTGTTGTTTTGTTAAATGAAAATATAATATCCCTCCTATTCCCCCATCTATAGTATCATTAGATATGATTGTTGGGCCTATTGATACTTTAAGAGTCATATCTACATAAGCATATCAGTCTATTAAGGGTCCCTCAATAATTCCTACTCTCTTCTCTCCTTATGGCATTACTATTTTGTTCCTCAATACTACCTAGGATTGTTCCGATGTGGAGATTATTAATGATTTAAACTCTATTTAATCTCAAGATTCAATTAAAACTCTTCCTAGATTAAAATAAAAGATTTCAACTTGAGCTTTCTTAAAAAGGCATAAATTGAACAAATGTTTTTCTTACTCCCTCAAATTCATTGAATTTTAAGATAAACTTTTTTTTTTTTTTTAACTTTTGAACTAGTTAAAGTTAAACTCACTCACACATCACATACACAAGCTTCAAACTCGAGTCCTCTTAGTTGGTAACTAAAGCTCACAATTAATAGATCCAAGTGAGTTGTGTTAAGATAATAACTCTCTTCATGATTTTAACATTCTTGACTTCGGATTAGGAATATAGGTCATCATTGAATAATGATGAATTTTGTGTACATCAGGCTTGCTCCTCTTGGATGGTCGTTCTAGCAACTAGGGAGGCTCTTCGTTTTTATGAATCAAAGGAAGTCCTTGACGGCGTAACTTATCTCTCGGCGGGACCTAACAAGGCCACCCACCGGCATCAGGCTCACACTTGCTTTGCCCCAGTGAAGAAACGAGGCCCTAGTAAAGAAAACTCAAATCAGAATGAGGATTCCAAATTCTAATTCTGCTCATCCATCAACCATCCTAAACCTGTGTAGGGCTTTGCCCTTCTAATACTGCTATACATATAACTCAATGTAACTTAACTCTGTGTGCTTTATTCCTAAAAGCTACTCTGCGCGTAATAATTTCTCCCGTACCTGTGCCCTAACGTTCCCATCGTCTTCCCTCCTCTCATCCCTCCGCCACCGGAAGAGAGCAAGCTGGTCGCCGTCTATTCTCCTTTAGAGCAAGACGTCCGCCTGTTCTTCTCTTCCCCTCCACGCTCACAAAGAGAGCAAGACTGCCCGATTCTCGTCCGGCACATCTCCTCGACTCCACTCCTTCGCAAGTCGACCGGCTGGCCTGATTCCGTCGCCGGCTTTCCGATGAAGTGGTGAGTCGTGCTTCTTGATTTCCTTCCTCTACTCCGCCTTCTAAAACATCTAGGATCGCTTGCCTCATCTTTTCCTATCCTTCATATTTTGCATGCAGAGAACAAGACTGTTGACACTTACGATTTCATTTCTTTGTCCAAACCAATCTTCTTCTCTTCGCCTTTGATCGTATATTTTTTAGGGGTGTTAATTCGGGTTAACGGGTTGGGTTCAGGTCGAACCCGGAACTGACCTGTCATTGTTCGGGTCAACCCAAACCCGACCCTTTTTTAAAAACGGGTCAGGTTTCCGGACCCAAACCGACCCAATTCGGCTCCGGGTCAACCCGAACCGACAAGAATAACCCGAAGTTGACCTAAAATTGTTAGTTTTCGGGTCAAAAATTGGGTCAATCTCGGGTTTCCGAGTCAAATAGTTTTCGTGTCATTTTCGGATTGCTGGATCAATCCGAACCCAACCCAATATTTAAAAAGGTTTGATTTATTGAACCGAAACCCGACCCATTTCGGGTCTGGGTTGACCCTAATATGGATTTTTCCGGATCGGATTCAGGTCGTGTCAAAAATTGACACCCCTAATATTTTTTATGTGATATGTATAATTTTGAAGCAAAAAATGCATCTACATTTCAAATCTAGTTCAGATAAACACCTCAATTACTTTGGTTTTCATGGATTTAAATTTATAGGTTCAAACCAAATATTTACAGCAACTTTTTTTTTAAGAAGTTATCAAATTAAATTTCTTATTAGAGCAAACAAAAGAAATGAAAAAAAAACTGTAGATTCTCTGCATCTTCCATCAGATCCTTGATTATGAATTTCAATTTGTGAGCTTAATTCTAAATTCTAATATTCAAGAAAAAGTTCAATAATTGTACTTTGAAATAAGCCCTTGGAAGGCGCTTAATTATGAATTAAGCAAAAGCAAATTTTCGACCAAATTAGATGACTTAATCCTAATTGATTTCATAAGTACTTTAATCGGTTAGAGTATAGTATTTACCAACATAAAGCATATTGTTTATGTTGCTATCTTCTTAGACTGAAAGCCGAGGAAAAGAGAATGATGAAGTATTTAATATAAATGAATTTTTAGATTAGAAAGATGAACTTCATATTGGAGATCCTAAAACTACTCATAACTATGCACGACGTAATTGTGAGCTTTTATTTAGCTTTCACATTTTTTGGCTAAACAAATGAATATATAAATAATGTTGTTCCAAAGAATGCTACATAGAATTTAAAATTAGAGGCTCCTTAGATTCAAAAAGATATTAGAAAAGCTAAAATCATTGCAATTATAAATTTCAATAACAAGGAGCATGGAGATGGTTTCTTTTCATTTTGGTTGATGAATAATGTGATGTTTATGTCATAGAGAAAATGGCTATTGTTAGGGGTGTAAATGAGTTGAATTGAGCTCGAGTTGAACCCAAGGAACGTGCTCGAACTTGGCTCGAGCAATCGTACTCAACCTCGAGAGCTCGACTCGATATGCAGTCATTGCAGGATTTCTTATTCGTCGAAATAACTCTCAAATCCGGGAAGAAAAATGAAGCATCGTTTTTTTATTTCCTTAAAAAAAAGTTGTACAAAGTACAGATTCATTAATGTTGATAGAACTTTCTTTTTAAAAGTTGCTATATTATATAGGTTTTTTAATGTTGTTATTAATATTAAATTTGAATAATAATTTTAAATATTTATTTCACCTAAAAATATTCTTTTAATATTTATATTTTTGAAACCGGCATGCGAGTTGACCAACCAAGTTTAATCAAAATCAAACTCAAACTCGAGCTCGTTTAATATTTTAGCTCGAGTTTGAGCTTGAGCTCGTAACTTGATATGCTCAACTCATGAGCTCGTTGGCGAGTCTAGTTCGAGCCGACTCAACTCATTTACACCCCTAACTATTGTGCTGCATTAAGTTAACGAATAAGGCCAAGTTGTTGGGTGATTTTTGAAGATTGTGAATGTTTTAGATACAATAGCTAACTGCCTTAAAATGACAATGGAATAACTTTTCTCAACTTATGATTTAGATATCTCAAGATTATGTGGCCAAGGTTATAGGGAATTTTCATGGGCTGAAAATGCTTTTCATAAGTGAAATTAAATCAGCGCATTATATTCATTGCTTTGTACATCATCTTCAATCAGCTTCGGACCTTCGGTAGTTCTTGTAGAAAATCATATTCAAAATTTCTTATTATGTATTATAATTTTTAATTTGACAATTATTTTCAGTGTTTCCTACAAACATCATGAGTCTTGCACATTACTATAATCATTACAATCTTTAAACTTTTATTTTGCCCATATTTGATTAAAAATGTCCTTGAAATTACTATTAAACTATCATAAGCATTGTAGAGAGAAGAACAAAATATTGTGAATGTCACGTCTATGATTCAAATATCTTAAACAAGATTATAAGATATGAGATAACAAGTGTGAAGATTTCATTAATTAAATATTTTTATTTTGTAAGAACCAAAAAATAATTATTCATTTCATGGATGATGTCCTCTTCTTAGAGTTCAAGACATAATAAATCTATATCATTTTAAAGTTGAAATATTCTATATAGTCATTGATATGCAATTACAAGAGTCACATAATTCATTGAGACACTTTTGCAAAATAAAAAAAAATTACAGAATCTAAAGCTATATTTTTTTCTCAAGAATAATGCCTATGGTTAAGAAATTTGTTGGTAAACACAGTTTACCACCTTCACAATAGAAGATTGGAGTAGAAAAAATCAGGAATTGTTTTCTGTAGGAGCTGCTTCATTGAGCAATTGATAAATATGTAATAGTGCAATTGAGATTTTACATACACCATAATTAAAATTATGAAATCAATTGTGCGTATGTTACATGATGAATATTACTTAACAAGTAGAATACAAAAAATGTAAGGGTGTTTCTTACAAAAGTCCATTGCGAAAGAGCGAGATTCCATGCGAAGATGCTCTTCAGCAGGCTAGTGTTTCATTTGCTTGATTGAGGATGAGGAAACTTGGCTGGAGTTTGTCTTTTTGGGTGCTGCGATGTTTTGTTGAAATTTAAATGAGTACATGAAAATGAAAAAATATTTAAGAAAATTCAAACCCTAAACTAGAATTTATGCTTGTACATATTAAATATTAAAAATTGGGAAAGTTTAGGTGATTTCAATCTCATACAAATGCGAAGGAACAGAGACATTAAAAGAAATGTTATTGGGTTTAGTCTCACATCAAATATTGCAAAATATGCTGGTGAAAATATAATAATGATTAGTTCACATCCATAAGCTTAAGTTTTTAATCAAATAAATATATGATTGAGTTTTTAATCAAATAAATATATGGTTAGTAGTGCATTGAGCCCATCTTAACCCTTCATCCACTCTTTAACAAGAGGACCTATGATGCACAGACACGGGCACGATGACACAGATATGACACAACATGGACACGGGACGCATCAAGTATTGAAAATAGAGGACATGGACTTGGGTTGGACGTGATATTATAATTTTTATATTTTAAAAATAGTGTATACAAATTAAATAAGTATAGTATTAAAACTAATTTAGAAATAATAAGTCATTTAACTAGAATTTATGGTTAAAATGATTAATATTAAGATGTCAAGAGACGGTCATCGATGTTATGCAGTAAGTATTAGCATCAATGTCAAGAGGGCGTTTGTCATCAATGTTGAGAGGGCGTTTGTCGTCAATGTTGAGAGGGCATTGATCATCGATGTTAATATGACGTCAGACAAAGATGAGATGTCAAGTTGTGGGTGTAGAAATTGTTAACGTTGAGCATCAATGTTAAGACAGTCTAGATGATTTTGAAATATTGATGTTGTAACGACGTCAAACATCGATGATGTTGAGATAACAGCAGGCGTTATTGTGAAACTAAAGTTGCAACCTCCAAGAGAAATGAAAAAGAGAATATTCGATGAATAGGATGTTGAGTGCGGACAATTAATTTAGCGTTGTGGATAGGAAAGAAGAAATTTGGTTTTTATATCTATAATAAATAAAAATTTTAAATACAAGAAATTATATTTAAAAAAAAAAAATTCATAAAATATTTTAGACACGTTTGCCCAATTTGTATTTAATAAATTTTTTAATTTGACACATTTTCGGCATGCTCATGTGTCAGATGCGTGTCAGACGCGTGTCGTGTCGAACACTGCACGCCTCTTTAAGGAGAAGTGTTGGTGCATCATAGAAGAGGACAAAAACTTTCAGATGCATGAATTAATTTAGTCTTCCACAGAATGAAAATCCCTAGCAATGCAACTCAAAATAGCAGTTGTTGTAGTTGTTTTTGCTACTACTGTAAGTGTATTTGAAAACAATAAACCTTTTCAACAGCAATATTCCATGCATATAAAGCAACAGTAATAGGTATTATTAAATAGAATAGTTTCATGCTTGCAGAACTATCAAAACGACAGTATGAACAGTAGCCAGAGCCGTATTTGTTATCCTTTGCAGTACCAAGAGTCATGTTTACAGCAGCATAAAAAATAGAATAGTTTCATACTAAATGGTGACAGAAGTGATAGCAGAAGAGTAGTCGCCATAGTTACCCTTCTATCTGTTTTTTCATATTTTGAGATACCATGATATTTTATACACCTATACATGAGAATATAGTTTTGTTTCATTTTATTCATGGAGCTGTATCAACATCTCAACAATTATCAACATAATTATCTGTTATCGCAGATTTGATTGGCAAGCTTAAGGTTCATAAGATTTTCATGGGAAGATTAAATAATATTTCCTCCTCCCAATAAGATCTTTTTCTCCTCATAATATCTGGAATAACATATTTATTTTCTACCATCTTATTCTTTGCACATAAATTAATCATTGAACTCTTTAATACATTCCTTCCACAATTTCTTATTAAACTGCTGTTCTATTAAGAAAAGCATGCTTACCTGGGGACTTCAAAGAATCATTTGACTTCGCTCGTGTTGACGGAGCTTGGCCTGTTCGATGTGGGAGATGTTTCGGTATCTGTGATGGAGATTTTGAGCTGCATTTAAGATAACTAGGAAATTCAGAAAATAGGCACAGTAAACTTTCAACTTAGAGCAATATTTAAACTATAACCTGGAGTGAAACACGATAGCTTCACACAAAAAGAACTAAGGAAAAGTGACAAACTATTATTAAGAAAAGAGTGTAACTCAATTCAAGAGCAAGTATAATGAACTATAAAGTAATTAAAAAAAAAAAAGATATTGAGCTTTCCTGCTGCTTGCAGATTTGAAATATTTATATAGGAGATTTCTCTTTCATTGTAGCTGAACATATATTTATAAATGAAGATTTCTAGATAGAAATATATTAGATTTGTTAAATGTGACTTGCCTCTTCATAAGTAGTTCATTTCTTCCAAATATGAGATTCTCCCTCACTATGGTTATATATATATATATATATATATATATATATATTGTGTGTGCGCGCATGTTTATGATCATCTAAATGGACAAAAATGATCACCTAATGAACCACTTTGAAGGATAAGAAGTTACTTACAACTCGACTGGGGTATTCTGGATGTATTATGCCATGTTTGTCTAACGGAAAAAAAAAAATACTTACATCTCTGTAGGAACTTCTGATGGCTTAGCAGCCATTGGATGAATCGCCGACTCGATGTTGCTGCCCACTGAATACACAGATTCTTTTCCAAGGGAAAGATCCCCGGCGGATACATCGCTCATCTGTCCATCTGACACTTCATCTCCATAGTCCCCAGTCTCCTTATCAACATGATAACCCTCGTCAGCATTCCCTCCATCACACATTGACAACTGAGAACCAACATCTGAATTCTGGCTGCTAAATTCAGAAAAATTTTCAGCATCCAGAACATCTTTTTCAATGAATTTTGCAACCTTGCCACCACCTTGTTGGGTTACTCCACCGGAGGATGAGACACCAGAAGATGAAGATTGTCTCAATGAGTTACTTTTGGGAGAATGTACTCTCCGATCTTTTAGCCTCTGTAATTGTTCAATTTCATTATCTTTTCTTGCTATTGTATCCTTTAGAGATGCCACCTGTTCAGTCAAATATAACAAATTGAAGCTATCAATGTAAGCATAAACAAAGCATTTTTGAATATTCACTTTTTTAGTGTAAGAAGATGATCCACAATGATTAGAAAATTAGTTGACTTATTCTATGAGGGTCCTTAGATGAGGATTCCATTCTGCATTCGATATTCTTGTTGTAACAATAGCCAAGTCAAGCATTCAAGAGATTAGATAACACATCCATTCAATTACATATTCGAGATAAGCAGATCTCCAATACTGCGACATACATGTCGAATCATCCTTAATGGATCACTTTAACTACTATCATAAAAAATAAGAAATCTGTTAGGCCGGCCCAGGAGGGGCCAGCTGAACCGGTTCACTTCTACAACCGGCGGCCCAAATCAAAGGGGAGGGGCGGATGCCCTAGTGGGCTCAATCAATTGATTAAATGGGTGTTTATGAGGGAAATTTGAATTAGAGGATGTTTAGGGATTTTATATTTCTCCTTTTGCTTTAATTAGTTATTAATGCTAGAATTAGGGTTAGATCTTGAATTTGGAAATCAGATTTGAGATTTAGGGTTTGTGCTTTTAGGCTCTAGGCTTTGCTAGAGAATTGGAGTTGTTTCTTCCTGTTGAATTGAAGAAACTTGTATCTTGTATTGTTTTTCTTGTTCGTGGATTGAATAGAAGGAGTTTTCCTTGTGTTTCTCTCCAATATTCTGAAATTCCTGCATCATTTTTGCTGTCTTCTCTCTGAAATCAGCATATTTCTCGCTGTTTTTACTGATTATTGCTAGGTTTGCTTGCGAACTCAAGTATTTCCCTTAGGGTTACTTGCGAACTCAAAGTTTTTCCTATCAAAATCCAAGGATATTTGCTAGAAATTAACTAAGATAGTGTTACAAAGGAAAAAACTAAATAATCCTCAAACCTGTTCAATCAAATCTTTAACATCCTTTCCCTCTTTATTACACCTCGCAGAACCTAACTCCACTCCGGATACCCTTTCAGCAAATTTCAAGGTGCTTAGTGTCTCTGAATAAGAATCTCCATCCGGATTAATCTGCACAAGCATGAGTGTTTTTGCTTGTCCACCTGCATGTAAAGTGTCAAATTGAGGAAATCAGGTAAAATTCGAGGAATTAATGACTAGTTTCTCCTCAGAAAGTGCAAAGTAGACACTCAACACCTTAATGGTAGGAACATTAGGAAACGTACCTAGAGAACTCTGAAGAATCTGAGTAAGTTTGCTGTTTCTGTATGGTACATGAGCGCTCTTTTGAGAGAGTGCAAATATGACATCACCAAGGGCAGAAAGAGACTTATTGATGTATTGTGCTTCTTTGAGTCTCTCTCCTGTTACTTCAGAGCGGTCAACTCTCTCACTTCCAGCCAAATCTATCAAATGTAGACAGGCCCTTGATGTGGAACCAGTCTTCAGATCCTCACCTCGAACATGAACTGTGAGGATACTGTAAAAGAATGTGAAAATTGCACGAACCATTTAGTTCATACATAACAACAACAACAACATCAAGCCTTTATCCCACTACGTGAGGTCGGCTACATGAATCCTTTTTCTCCATTGTGTCCTATTAAAAGTCAAATTATCGTTTAAATCTAATAAAGAAAGATCATTTATAATATTGTCTAACCAAGTCTTCTTAGGTCTGCCTCTATCTTTCTTAACATAAGTCAAATCTAATACCTCTAATTTCCTAACCGGATTATCGGAAGGCCGCCATTTTATGTGACCAAATCATCTAAGGCGACTCTCTCTAATCTTATCTTCTACTGGAGCTATTTGAACCTTTTCATGTATATGCTCATTTTGTATCTTTTTAATTCATACATAAAATAAAATAAAATAAAAAGAAGCAAGATAAAGAAAACTACCAATGGGATCGACTACTTCTTTCATTTAGAGCTGTCGAACCAACAGCCCTGTTAGCTTGCCCTAACTTCATTTTAGCCAAGACATCATTAGATGATTTGACTGGAACCATTCTTGCATCAGGAACAGCTGAACCATCGGGCTGGGAACTATTTAAAATCCCAAGTGTGCGAAAGTTAAAGAAGAAAATAATCTAATATGAATCAGTTAAATAAATAAAATAAAATAAAAACTATTTTTATCTTTAGAATAGTGACAGATTTGACAATCTGCAGGTGAATTTGTGATTTCTAATTAAAGAATTAACCTTATCATTTGAAACTCTATGAAGAAATGAGAAATAGAAACGAAATTTTTTGGCCAATTTCTAGCAGCATAGCATTTAGAATCTTCAGAAAAGCTAGGTAAGGATATCGTTTCTGTGAGCCACTATCGGAAAGTAGATCACGAATTTGTTCATTGTAGATTTCAACCATCTGAACTCGTACTTCATAATTGTAAGCATTTCTCCTCGCTTGAGAAATTTGGAATAGGTCATTCAGAGCTCGATAATTGACTCCCCACTCTTCCTCTGAAGGCGAGTCTGGTCCGCTCTGCCAAAAAAATGGTTTGAATGTTTGGAGTATTAGATTTCAGAGGAATATTGTGATGCATAAATATATAGTGGGAGGAATAAGGCACCGCTTCTATAAATAACAATAATCTTACCATTGTGTATGTTTTGCCCGAGCCAGTTTGACCATATGCAAAGATGCACACATTGTATCCATCAAGAACAGATCGAATCAAGGGTTGAATATCCAAGAAAACTTGAACTGACAATGTCACAAAATGTGAAGTTCTAAGTAACTGTCAATAATCTGATAGGAAATCCTTGAGTTCACAAGTAATCTTAAGGGAAATATTTGAGTTCGCATGCAAACCTAACTGTGATAGGTGAAAAACAGCAAGAAAACTGCTGATTACAGCAAAAAACAGTAACGGTATAGCCATCTTCTTGAGAAATATGGAGAAAATTGAGGGAAAAAACGAACAATTCCACTAGCCGATGCAGGAAAACATCAAACGATACAAATTTCTTCAATTCGAGAGGTAGAAACAACTCTCCGAATCTCTAGCCAAGCCTAAAGCCCAAAGGAACAAATCCTAAATCTCAATTTTGATTTCAAATTTAAAATGAAAACTCTAATTCTCCCAAAGGAACTAGTTAAAACAAAGAGGGCAAATACAAAATCTCTAAACAACCCCTAATTTATTTTTTTTTCTTCCAAAACAAGCTTAATTAAGTCGTGGGCCCCATCTCTCCAACCGGCCCCTCTCTCTCTCTCTTCCCCTTAGTTCCGTCCCCTCCTCTTGTAGCAAAGAACCGGTCCAGATTGGACTAGTTTAGCTGGCCCTAGGGCCGGCCTAACATAATCATCCAAAAAACATGAGATGCAACAAGAGCAAGAGAAAAAAAAACATATAGGAAGTCATAAACATACATATAATCGATACAAATGGTAACAAATTTAATATTTAATAGAAATATTTCGCATAATAGCATGTGTAAGAGATTATTTGATAATGTAGAAGATTTAAGCAAAAAATAAGAACCTTGAGTTGCAGTTTGACCAAAGACCTTGTTAAACTTGAACACCCGATGGCCATCCTTTCCTTGTCTGGAGGGATTCACTAGACCAAGTTCACCATTGTCGCCAATGTAATCCACAGTTGACTTAGCAAATTGGCTTGGTAGGAAAGGCCTCAACCGACAATATACCCTGATGTTTCCTGACAAAATGATCGATGCAGTTCAAATAATATACAAAATAAGTGCAAAAGAGCTTTTTCCCATACTTTTTCCCCCACTTGAAAAAATTATAACGAGATGAAACTCCTTAAGTTCATATAATCTTATTTTCTAAAATTAGTATATACCTTTTAGTTCCTGAACTTCATTGTATAACTTTCTATTTTCTGCTAGAATTGTCTGATAGTTTTCAGCAGCATCTAACAACACTTTTAGTCTAAACCCTGCATAATCACAGAAAAGAGTAGAAATTCAAAGCTAGATAATCACAAAAAACAAAGGTGTTTCAAACTGCATAATTCTTACCCATGCTGTTCAATTCTTCTGTCCATTGCCTTTGAGAATTATTGACTTCTACTTTGATGGACTCTGATGATGTCCTCAAGCCCTGAGATAGACCAAGCAATCAAATTTTCTTATTTTAATTTGAACTGACAATATCAAAGAAAAACATTATGCAAAATCAACAATTCACCTTTAGTGATTGTAGTTGAAAAGAAATGAAATTATGGAACACATTCTCCTTTTTAGTCCAATTATGGAACTTAAACTCAGAAAATGCCTTAAGTTCATTCATCCTCTTACTCGACTCTGCTAGCAAGAATTCAGCCTCTTTTGTTCTTTCTTGTAATCTGGCTTCATTTTGCTTTGCCTTGGCATCTAACTGCTGGTAATGATCTTCGTAAGTGTTATTTATTGCTTCCAATTCCTGTTTAAATTCTAAAATCATTCTATCATTATTTTCTTTCTCTTTCATCAACTTCAATGTTTGCTGTTCCTCCTGTTTCTTACTCTCGATTGCAGTTTTCTTTACCTACAACACGAATCCATCCCATGTTAAGCATAGCTTACTTGACTGGAGAGATTCTTTAAAATATGTAGTAAAAGAAAAAAAAAAAGTCTAGGCACAATCCAGGATGAGTGAATTGGATTGAAGTAAAATTTAAGTTGACTCAAAATTCAGCAATTCTGTCCAAGTGCCGTGTGAGAGACAAATATTTCACAATTCTGTCCACGCCCAAGTACAAATCTCTCTTTTTCTTTACCAGAAAATGAGAAACCAATCTCTCCTACGCCCAAGGCAAAGAGAAACCTACCTCCTAAACCAACCTTGGGTTAGTTCAGGCAGAAGAAGTGGTATCAATGGTTCAAAATGAACCTTTCACAATAATCTTTAAAAGTTAGAATGAAGAGTGCGGAAAGGTTGTGGAGAGAGAAGTATAACTCAAGGCTAAAAACACTTTAGAACACCAAGGATTTATTAAATGTAAGCAACTCCAGATTATTCCTGCTGTTGTGAGAGTATTTTAAGGATTAAAGACCCATCACAACAACAACAACATCAAGCCTTTGTCCCACTACATGGGGTTGGCTACATGAATCCTTTTTAGCCATTGTGTCATGTTGAAAGTCAACTTCTCATTTAAATCTAATAAAGAAAGATCATTTCTAATATTTTCTAATCAAGTCTTTTTATGTCTATCTCTATCTTTCTTAACATAAGTCAAATCTAATACCTCAACTTTCCTAACCGGGTCATCGGAAGGCCTCCGTTTAATGTGACCAAACCATCTAAGACGACTCTCTCTAATCTTATCTTCCACTTGAGCTACTCCAATCTTTTCACTTATATGCTCATTTTGTATCCTATCTTTAAGGGTAAAGCCACTCATCTACCTAAACATCCTCATCTTTGCAACACTTAACTTAGTGTTATGCTTCACTTTTAATGGCCCTAAATAGTAGAAAATATCACGTAGATTTTGGCCATTATTTAGTAAAATTTTCAGGCAGAAAATCACATCCATCAATGTAACTATCAACATCAGTAAGGCAACCAACGACATTTCAAACGGATTTTTCTTCATTATTGTGGTTTATGATAAGGGCAAAATTCAAAGAAAATTACTTGTACTTCTTCATTTGTTCCAGCTGCCAGTGTCTCAAGCACTCTGATTCTTGATTGGTACTTTTCTTCTCGTGCTTTAATCAGATCATTTTGCTGGATTAAAAAGTTGTAAATAAGCAGTGTATAAGAAGAGTTGAAATTGTGGATTTTTAATGACTATCATCTTACATTACGAATATGCTCTGTCTGGGTTGAAATACGGCGCTCAATCTCTTGCACAACTTTTCTGAGTAAACTTGCCACACGCTGAAATGGTTAGAGCATTAGCAATTGTGATTAGAATCCAAAAGAAAAAAACAAAAAGACCAATATAGTTTTGTGTGGATTGAAACAAGTAAAAGATAGAGAATAAATTATACTAAGAAACATACAAGTGGCATCTCTCCATTCTTCCTATCGATGCTTTCATCCAGAATTCTGTTAATGACACTTAGAAGTGATTGGGTTGGAGCATTCTGTAGATGACAAACAAAAGCCCAGAAAAGTCCATGAAGTTCAAAATTTTCCAAGAATTCGGGTGAGGAATATAGCTTATGGATTCGTTTGGGAGTTGGGACGGCTTTCTTAATTCTTTTTAGCACAAAAAATTTATTTTTTGTACTAATAAGATGCTTTAAGAAGCAGAAAGAAAGCCGTCCCAAACGAAGCCTATATCGCAGATAAAACTTGGAACTTACATCTAAACCATTTGATTTAATGATTTCAGAAATCTTGGCTGCAGGAATATCTGAATAACGTCCATGCTTTAGCTGGAACACCTCATGAAACTTATGGCCCCCATGACGCAGTGAGGCGGTTTGCTCTACAGAATGAAAGATAGATGGTTAACAATATGAAGATTTAAAAACCTTTCTTTTGCACAATGAAGCAGATAGATAAATATGAATATAAAACAAATTGGCAAGAAGCAAATTCAAATATTTAGATGATGAGACCAGCCACAATAGTCTAGTACTCTAGTTATTGCTGCTTGCTTTGATTTCTATTCAATGCCCCCTACATTCAAGGAATGATTAAAATTATATATCATATAAATGTAATTTTGCAGGATTTAATATTTAAATTTTTAAATAAAATTAATGCAATCTGCAATATGAATTCAAATGGTAGACAATGAAATGCAGGATGTGATAATGAAGTATTAATTAAAAATATATATTAAAGTATAAACTATATTGAGTGTACTATTCAAATTTAAAAGTAATGACATACGTCATACAATAGATTGCTTTTAAATGTGCTTGAATTCAAATTCAAAATTATGCTTTGTGGTAACTATATATCTTAACTTAGGTTTCATTTTGGGCGGCTTTTTTACTGCTTTAAGTTTTATACTAGAAAACTGCTTTAAGAAGCAGTAAGAAAGTCATCCCAAACAAAGGCTTAATTTCACCTAAATTTCATTTTCTTTTCTAATAATATTTAATAATAATTGTTAATATCACACCTATTAGATGATTATTTTGAGGAAATGAAAAGATAGATGTTTTGTTCCGCTGCATTTGATGTTTTTAGTAGCTCTGTTGTTCTGTGTGCTTCTGTTGAGTTAAGAATTTGAAAGATCAGTTCAGTAACCTAATCCAAAGCCAAATCCTGGTTAAGAAAGGTCTCTCGTCGCGATCCGGCTCGGGCGGGATCCGTCCCCGTCGGGTCGGGTCGTGACAACCCGTGACCCGAAATTGACACCCCTACTTCTAACACTTCCACTGTTCAAACTTTCCAATTATTTCCGTTAAAAATTTCTCCATAAACAGCTTAAAATGGTATGCCTATACAACTTTATTAACTTCTTGTGAACATGATGGTGTAGGTTACAGCTGCAATTTGCATCTACCGCAAGTTGAAAGTGTATAATAAGTAAAATTTATAAAGAGTAATGTTTTGCTCAATACGGCTATGTTCACTGTGATTTTGAAGCTCCATGGCTAGAGAATAACGCAATGAAATTGGAAATTGAGTTAATACACAAGAAAGACCATCAAAACTTAAAAAAAATATCAAAAGAACTATATACAGAGACACAATGTAGATGAAGGTTGAAAAGAATGACATTAAGACTTAGTTTTTTTTGGGACGGTTTTCTTACTATTTTTTAAAGTAGTTTTTTAGCATAAATTTTTTTATTTTTTACTAAAAAAATTGTTTTAAGAAACAGTAAAAAAATCATTTCAAATTAAACCTTAAAGGATAAATATTGAAATTCAGTCAAAAAAGCTGCTAAAGCCTACAAAGATGAGCTATAATCCTGGCTGGTCCTTATTGTGCATAGCCAGTTGGTGGTCTTGAAAATAGAAGCTATTCTTTATTACTGGAACTGAAAGATTAGTCTATTTCTTATAAATAACCAACTTCAGAATACCTGGCACAGCAGAACTATGCCAAACGCGATGAAATATTGATTCTGAATACTTATTTTTGTTCTCCTCTTCTCCAGTTGGAGAATTTTTCCCACTTCGGACAAGATTTCCTTCGCAAACATCCATAGCACCTCTATCATCTTTTGATGTGAACCACTTCTTTCTTGTCTTGTTTCCACAATTGGCTGTCCCATGAATGTCACCTTCTCCTAGTTTAGAATTGAAGTGATCCCTAAGGGACAAAAGACAATCAAGCACTGCAGAAATGGAGCCCTGCAAACAAAAGAAGCAGTTGAGAGCCAAGTCAAGTCGAGTATTTACCTAATATAGTTAAGCTTGCTTAATTCTTAGTAAGATCCAGCTCAACTCAAGCTTATTTACTAAGCTTGAACTAGACTCAGTAAGAATTAAACAAACTTGAACTTTGACTCGATTATTGAGCTCAATTTCTCAATTCTAAATTAATATTTTTTTCTTTTTTTAGTAATTTTTTTACTTTTAATATAGAAATGATTTAAAATTTTAAAATATATTATATAAAGCTAATTTATATATTTTTTGAGGTAACCGAGTTGCCCGACTAGCTTACAAACCGAGCTAGACTCAGCTTGACCGACTAGCTTACAAATCGAACTAGACTCAGCTCGAGCTAGTACAACATATGAGCTCAAGTATAGGCGCAAGCTTGAACGTATGATTTAGAACACCTCAAGAGCCATTGGCTCACACGCCCTAGCGAGCTTCTTTTTTAGAATTTTTATTTTTTAATATAGAAACAATTTAAAAATATTAAATATATTCTATAATACTATTTTAAAATTAAAAATAAATATACTTTTAAGTTAATCAAGCTGCTTAACAAGCTTACAAGCCAAATCAGATTAAGCTCGAGCACGTATAATATATGAGCTCGAGTATAGGCTCAAACTTGAACTCTTGACTCGATAAGCTAGACTTGTGAGCTCGTTAATAAGTTGAGTTTGAGTCTGCTCGTGAATCAACTTGGCTAACTTAACATGAATCTACTTGTTCTGAATTGAATATGTCGATATCTATAACTTATTAGACAAGTCTTACATTTTCCAAATCATCTACAGTAAAACTTGGCAGGCCCATTCCCTCTACAGCTGAAAGAAATCTCCTGACTTTCTCCCGCCGCTGCTCGAATGAAATATAAGCACCTCGCTGATTCTGCACCAAATTTCCAACCGACCATAAACAATCTTACTACTACGCGTAACCAACTCTCAGATTTCAAAAAAAAAAGAGGAGATTAGCGGCCAAAAATAAAACCTCCATGGCACTAGGATCCTGCCGCTTCTCAACGCCGCATAAAACGGTTCCATCAAAAAGCAGAGCCCTTAGTTCTTCATCGGATGCCTCCAAGGGGATGTTGAGACTCGGAAACAAACTATTTAGCCATTCTACAACTCTCCGCCTCTTACCTGAACCAAGAAAGGTAAAAAACAGAAGCAAAAAACAAATCAAACAAGTCCGAATTGCAGAAAACTTAGTTGTACTCAACCCATTCTCACCTGATGCATCTGCAGCACTCATGCTTCCAATGCCGTCCGATTCACAATCCTCTCCTTCCAGATTCAAGTTAGCTTCTTCTTCGAATTTCGACATTTCACCGTATTCTCTCCCTTTCGCTGCAAATCCGCCAACTCACAGCGACGTTCAAAGTACCAAACAAATATAAATCTCCCAGGAGCTTCAGCAGCATTCTACCATGGAAACATACAAAAATCCAGCTCTTCCATTCAAATTAACGTCAATTCCGTAGAAGAATATCTATGCAAAATTTAGAGAAAGGATCGCCTCAAGCAACCGCAGATTTGGCAATGCAGCCCAAATTAACTGCTGCCTGCGTAGACTAAGAACAACAAGACGAAATCGAAGAAGCTGGATCGCCGAAACCCTAGCTATTGACCAGCGTGGGATCGGTAATGTTGGTTCCGCGCTTTTCTCTCTCCCTCGCTATGGTTCTCTTCCTTTTCCTTCTTCAAGCTGTTCCTCCTTTCCATTCGCTCGTCTCTCTCCGAAACGCGCGTAGCGGGCTGCCTATAAATAGGTCGCGGACGACCGGACTGGAGAGAGAAATGGATGCCACGCGGCTTGAGCGGTTTTTTTTAATTATTATTAATTTATTAATTATTATTATTATTATTAAATTCTAAAAGTGCTATATATTAATTTTTAGAAAAAAATGTTATTCTCTAAAATAACATACAAAAAATAGATTTAACTAAAGATTAGTTGACAAGCTTCAATAATATGTACTAAATGGATATATAAAATTAAATTTAATATTTGAAAAACAATTTAAAATTAAAATAATTGAATTAGATAAAAAAATTAAATAAATATTTAAAGCTAAATTTTAACAGGAGTTTAAGACATAATAATTGATTTTTATACTTGGAAAGAGTAGCAATGAAATTTAATAAATAGCATATAAATCAAGTTATATATGAGGGAAATTTTGATTGTAATACTTCGTAATGCACGTAATTGAAAAAAAAGTCTATATTTATTTTATAAGAAAATATATCAAGAAATTCATTTAAGATGAAAGGACCTCTAATGGGGATTAACTCTTGTATTCGTTGATTGATTTTTGACTTCGAAGCATCTAAAATTAGTTTTATTACGTTTAAATTCAAATGTTGTGCAAACCCAAAGTTTCAAAATGATTTGAACCCAAATTCAAATAAGGTTCAAACCTCATTGAACCTTAGTTTGAACTAATTCGCCTAAGAAATCTTGTCATGATCTTTGATTCTCCTTCAGAAGTTGTTGGATCTCACGATGTCGATTCCAAGCCATCACGAATCCCCTTTTAGTTCACACGTCATTGGATTGTGTCGATGTTGATCTCAACTGTCATGAACTCCCCTTCTCCACATGTCGTCGGATTTCATCGACACCTCTCACTTTCTTCACTCATCGATGGATCCATCAATGTCAATTCCTAACTATTATAAAAGTCCTTATTCCTTCCCATGCCATTGGATTCCTTCAATGCCCCGCCCACTATCCATCACAAACACCTCTTTTCCTTCACACGTTATTGGATGCTCAATGTTGTCAAACTCATGCAAAGAGGGATGCAAACTCTACGTGACGTCCGAACTTTGGTTCAAATAAAGATTTGTAGATACTTCAAACTTTTGTTTGAAGTATGTTCAAATCTAAGGCCACGCCTCGTTTGAAATAATTG